ATTGAACTCATGCTGAAGTGACTTTATCTTCTTAGTGCTGTGCTTTAACCTGCTGCACCACCAGGGAGGGCCCCCTTATGGAAGGTTTTTAACTATACATTCAATTTCTTTACTAGAAGACCTTCAAATTTGTCTATTTGCTTGATACTACTTGAAATAGTATTGGAAACTTGTATTTCCATGAAATTGATTGCTATCATTTAAGTTTTCTTATTTATATACCTAGAACTTTTATAATAGTTCTTTATTATCATATTATCATTGAAATCAACCTGGCAAGAATTTTATCAATTTTATTCATATTTTAAAGAATGAAATTTTTGTTTCATTGACTTTTCTCTACTGTTTCTTGCTTCGAATTTCATTGACTTCTGCTCTTTATTTTCTTATTTAGAAACTAGATTGCTTTTCTTTTTCTCCCCAAATTTTAGGTATTTATTAATCAGTGTAAATCACAACATATCAACATGATTTCATGTATTTAAGGGGGAAGTAGTTCCAGGTTAAGTGGGAAACTGCAAATGGCTTCTGGAAGACCTTCATTTTAAGCAGCTTTATAATGAAATTTTCTTTTAGAAGTATTAACTTTCCTCAGTGTTCTGAACTCTACATTCACTGAATAGAATTTATATTAATCACTGGGATCCAGTTTGTTCTAAGGTTCTGGGTTTATTCCTTCTGATTGAACAAAACCAGACATGCGACATACAGTGTTCTCTAGTTCCTCTGGCTACAATAAACATGAAAAGGGGGTCCCATGAGGCTGCATTTTTAACTGACTGAGGATCTGGCAGAGCATGGTTTCAGGAGAGGCCTTAGGCAGAGTAGGAGTGGAAGGAAAATAGGCAAGTCTCGAGACAAGTCTTGACCTCTTTTCTAATTTCTTAAGTCTCATGCTCTATCTACCAACTGAGCTACCTGGGCTTTCTTTTCCTAGTTTCTTTTTTTTTTTTTTTTTTACAACTTTTCCTAGTTTCTTTTTTTTTTTTTCCTAGTTTCTTAATGTAGAAATGTAAATTATTCATTTAACCCCTTTCTTCTTTTATAAGTACTTAACATTTTGCAAATTCCTTTCCAAGTACTGAATACATGGCTTCCCTGGAGATAATTCACTGCCAGTTTAATAGACTTTTCATATAGCCAAATATGTAACCATTTTGATATTTTCATTGTTATGTCTTGGTGTTTTCTTGTCATAATTCTGTAACAACTACCAGAGACATAATTAGAAATAGCATTGTTTTCCAATTTCAGGCTCTCACATGAATATTAAATATTTGCAATAAACATAAAATATGAGCTACTAAAAACAATTAGTAATTTTACCTGAAACTTCAGTTTGCTTTCTCCTCCTTCCCGATCTCGCTTATGCATATTCACCATTAAGGCTTCATAACAATCCTTCCAATAAAGTGCCATGTTCTCATGACCATCATAAAATGTATGTGTTTCATATTGTTTCATATAAGGTACAATCTTATAAAAAACAGAAACAGAATTTGATCTGTACTTCAAAAATAATGATAAATCAGCAGAAACCTCACTTGATAAAAGCAAAACTTACATATTTTTCAATATAAACTTGCCATTCATTTGAATTGCAATATTCCCGAAAATCTTCAAAAAATGAGGCATTTCCATTAAAAATAGGGAAAGACGGCAGGTGCAAGTTCATGAAGAGGAGTTCATAAATTTTGGACACCAAGGTACGGATAAGAGGAATGAGAAATGAGTAGATTTCAGTCTGTTCCTTGATTGACTGACTGAGGACATGCTCCAACTTCCCTAAAATGTAACAGGCTTCCTCCTGGTTGTCAAACATTTTGGTCTGAAGAAGGGTATTTAGCTTAGCTGATGCCATTGCACAAACCTAGAAGAAAATAGTTTAAATGGGAAAAAGACATTTAGAGATAACTAAAGTTCTTTGGTGTCCTGAAGCAGTGTATTTTCTAAAATAAATTAATAAAATAATTCCTGTTTAATTTGGAATATACAGAAATGTTTCACTTCATTTCTTCTTAGAATTTGCAAGTATACGAGGATGATTTCATCCTTAGTTCTAATAACTTACACTAAAAGGTATAATAAAAATAGAATCCTTGCCACAGTGATTGGCAAGAGTAACCCATCTTTCAGTCAATCCATGACTCAGGATTCATGCAGGGATGCAATTTCACTTTTTGGATTATTTGTTTTTGTTCACTTTTATTGAAGTATCACTAGATTACAACATTGTATATAACTTACAGGTGGTATAAGGTCACTGTCAAGAACTATGAAGTGGCTTAGTTTTACCTCACCTCTAAGCTAACAAGTTAGCCTACCACTGATTCATCAATGCTGGCAGATGACTTGAGACTTGTGTCAGTAACTAGTAACAGCCAGAATATCAGTGTTTACTCTGGTTCCCCAAACTGCAATACCCATGGTGAGGAGATGAACTAGGTAAGATAATGCCTGCACACATAGTGTTTGTATTATAGTAAAGCAACACAGGAAGCCTAAATCTTTATTGGGCAGTACACTTGTCTAAATTTTCTTAGAAGGATACATATCTTTACTATGCTAACAGTAAACAAATCTAACTTTAGCTCTGGAAAAAAAATCTGTCATTCCCACATCCTAATGAAAGTCAGAGCAAAGGTATCCAGTGTTTAGTCACAGATGATGTAGGCATGCAAGAAAACCATGCAGAACTGTCTACCAACAATGATAACTGAAGGACTTTGTTCCAGGGATATACTTTCTGGAAGGAAATATGGATTCCTAATTGCAACTGGCAGCTACTTTATGACAACAAAGGCAGACAGCTTAAGACAAACTGTGACAGAAAACAGCAAGCAAAAAAACAGGAGCCTTAAAAAACATGCCTTAAATTCAGCTATGGAATTTTCAATTATATGAGTCAATCTTTAAGTCAGCTTGACATGCTTTTTCTGATACTTGGAATCAAAATCATTCTGATACATAAAGGACAGGCAAATGAAGGCTAAGCTCTTCATCAGAAATCTAACAATAAAGTTCCCAAGGAAAATACTCTCACACAAGCCCAAGTAGTACTCTATTATTACTAAAGTATAGTGTTAAACCTCAACCTTAGAAGGTAAATTAGGTCATGAAGGGGGGCCTTCTTTTGTTTAGCTAGAGCAAGATATAATCCTTAAAAACCGTAACAGGACAAATAATGTAAAGGATACTTTTCTCCCTTAACCTTAAATCCCAATTATGGATCACATTACTTTAAAATAAAGAAATCAAGAAGGAAATAAGAAAATTAGAACCTAACATCACTCGAGGATGTATTCCTGCCTATTAAAAAAACTAGCAACAACAGGGCCCTCCCTGGTGGTATAACATGATAAAGTGCAGCACTACGAAGCTAGCTGCAGCTACTTCAGTGCGAGTTCCATCCCTTGCCAGAGAGGTGACCCACATGGCACAGCAGACCTCTCCTGCCTCTCCCGTTGCTCCCCTCATCATTGTATTTCATCAATCTGACTGTTCTGCTCCTTACTCTATCTCTGGTGAATCCTCTCACCATCCATGCACCTCTGGCCTGTACCCCAGTTCTGTATGCATAAATAAATAAATTAAAAAAAAAAAAACTAGCAGCAACAAATGCTGGCAAGGATTTGGTGAAAAAGGAACTCTCCAACACCACTGGTAGAAATACAAAGTGATTCAACCACTATGAAAAGCTGTGTGGAGACTCCTTAGACCAGTAAAAGTGGAACTACCATATGACCAGCAATTCCACTCACAGGGGCCTACCCAAAGGACACAAAAACTTTAATTCAAAAGAATATATTCCTATGTTTACTACAGCACTATTTATAAAAGGTAAAACTTAGAAACAACCCAAAAATAGGTGACTGGATCAAAAAGATGTGGTATGTATAGAAAATGGAATACTATTCAGCAATCAAAAAAGATAAACTCATCCCTTTTGCAGCCACATGGATGAAACTAGAGGGGATCATGCTTAGTGAAATAAGCTAGAAGGAAAAAGAAAAAGTAGGATGGTTTTAATTATAGAAGGAACACAAGGGAGCCAAGTAAAGGATCAAGGGGGAAAAATAATGATAATTAAAAAAAGCACAAAAAAATAAATAGACATCTATAAATCAGAGACATTTTGTAAGGGAAGAGAAGGAAGAGGGATCAACACAGGTGCAGGAAGAGCACAAGAAGCTATGATGATGGTGCAAGGGTGAATTGGTGGTGGAAATTCTATGGGGACTACACCTGACAAAAGAAAGCAAACACTGTAAAAAAATAATAATAATAACAATGATGTAAAAAAAAAAATGTATTTGTGCCCAAAGCTGGTCTAAGCTAGATGCACAGGTCTTTATAGGCCAAAACTACAAGAGACCTCAGGCAGTCTGTCCATGACAGCCTAGTGAAGCAAACAGCACTAGAGGGATTAATCTCTAAGACAGGTCAAATCATTTCTAGTGCTAACCTAAGTTTCTAATAGTGATTTTTCTCTACCTTCCTCAGATTCTCATCAAAGCCCTTCATTTCTGAAGCTGATCAAGCAGATAAATTTCAATAGATGTCAACAAATATAAGGAAAAATATAAAATTCTATCACTCAAAATGCTAATAACTATTAGGGCTCTTTTTGCCACATATTTTTAAAAATATTGTTTACACAGAAAAAATATCCAATGTTTTGCTTTTAACTTACTATCAGGGCATTAAATATAAGTTTACATGTTTATTTAAAAGTATGAAGATAGGGCCCTCCCTGATGACACAGCAGGTTAAAGCACAGCACTAAGAAGCTAAAGCCACTTCTGCATGAGTTCGATCTCCGCCTGCCCCTGAGGTGATCCACAGGCCAGGTAGACCTCTCCTGACCCGCCCACTGCTCCCCTCAACAGGGTATTTCAATGACCTGCCTGTTCTACTCCCCACTCTGTCTCTAGTGAATCCTCTCACCGCCCCTGCACCTCTGGCCTGTACCCCAGTTCTGCATGCAGAAATAAATAAATCTTAAAAGAAAAAAAAGTATGAAGATAATCTTAATGAAAATAATTTACTACTGCCTCACTTTGGATACACATACTACACACACACACATAAGCCTATTGAAAAGTATGGCCTTTTTAAGCAATGTAACCTTAGGGAATCTGAAATACTCTATGCATATTTTACGAACACTATAGCAAGCTCATGTGATTTTAAAAACCCCATCCAAGCCCCCTATCCACATACTTAAAATTCCAGAATTAAAATAAAATTAAAAGTTCTTGACAAATAGCTATAAAATATAAGCCATCACTAACTGAACCCTGTTCTCACAAGCACTGGTAAATAGAAAAATCACAAATTTCAAAAATTTTTAGTCTAAAAACGAATAAACATTCTTCGTGTCCATGTTTTATTTATCTTTACTATAGAAGTCTGTCACAAGTCTAATATAGTAGGTATTAAGTGGTTGGTAAATGAAAAAATGAGCTAGAATACAAACTGTGGGTTAGTAAAGGAAACAAAGATTTTGAAAAGAACAATCAAAAAGCAAATTTCCTAAAAATACAAGCCCTAAACTGCATATCTATAAATAGTCTATGCCAGCTATATAACACACTATTGACGAAATGACTAATATCCTTATAATCTACATATTAATCTTTTAAAAAGAAATCTAAATATTATGCTGAGTTACAAATTTTGGAAAGAAATAAGGAATTCGCTACTTAATAAATAAACCAGAAGCAATCAAGCTAGAAGTAAATCAAAATACTGGAAACATTATCATTTAGAAATCACACAAATAATACTCACTCTGCATGTAAATATGAAAAGTAATGTAACAAACCTGCAAATTACCCCTTCCAATGAATCCAAGAAGCAACTGAACTTGAATCTGAGAGAGTTTTACCCATTCTGGACTTTCAGAATACCAAATGGACAGACCATCAAAGAGCAGCATCATATCCTCAAAAAGCTATTACAAAGAAAAAATGGAAAAGAAAAAACATTTTTAAAATTTTGTTGATGAGTTTCCTCAAAAGCCAAAAAAACCAAACATTTCAGAACTAGTTCAATATTCAGTTTGTAAAAGCCAAAAGAATTATCCTAATAATAACTAATGAAAATCTGGGACCATCACATCTTACCCATGTTTATTGCATCTGATTAAATACTAATTTTCTGAAAAGATGGAGTACAAAATTTCTTACTTTGAATAAAGTCCTTGACTACCAAAAATAATTTCAAAGAGATATTACAGCACCTTCTCAGTCCACATGTTTGAATTAACAAGTCCTTCTGACTGCAGAAAGTCCTGTATGATCAGCATAAGTCGGAAGGCATTTTCAGCAGTCACTGGGTTAGTTTTTGCTTCTCTGTTTTCTGTGACTGCCCATTCTAACATCTTCTGTAACAAACTAAGTGTAAAACAAAGTCCTCTTAAAACCATTTAAGTTTAGAAAAATAATAGGACATAAAAAACCCTGAACAAATAGAATATGATCCTATTAATTATCAGGATTGTATCTACAAAGACACAGTATCATTGGTAGCTATCAGAAGACACTGTAGAATTTATTAAGTTGAAGCAACTTTTTAAATCTCTAGAATATGTACCTTTAATATAATTAACAGTAAAAGGCAAAATAAAGTTACTTTTATTTGACTAAAAAAAGCAATGAGTAATTCACATTCCAATCCATGATACTTAATAGTATCCTTAAAACTAGAAATTGAGAAGACTAGGGAAGAAAGTCTCATTCTGCTTTATAAAGGTTAGCTCTTAGGGAACTCTAAATGCTTTAGAGAAGTCATTTTGGGGGTAACACTATTTCCTTTCCTTAAGCAAGGAAACAGTCAAATTTAGACAAGATTACAGAATACAATGTACCAAGTACTTAGATATTGCAAAAATAATTTAAACAAGGACTATGAAATCACTTAAAACCCAAATTTATTTAATATTAAATTGTCTCACTGTGGATTTCTCTCTATATTTCATTAGAACAGCAACAGATAGGAAGGGTCTAAGAACAAAGTTTCTCTTTTTCTCTTTCTATACACACTGAATGCTGACTAAAGATCTACTCAAAAAGGAGAGGGAAAATCACTAACTGAACACTTACATTAGTTTTATTTCATCTGCTGGTCGAAGTAATTCACTGGAGATTCCAGGTTTAGATAGTGCTGAAAACACCTGTCCCCGTTCAATCCATGTATCATCATCAGACTTTTCTAGTCCTTTACACATTACACAATGCAAAATACTTGTCAATAACTGAAGAAGCTCCTCATCATACTTCTATAAAAAGGACAGAATATCAAATTAGAATCAGGGGCTATTAATGAGAACCATCACTTACACTGATTATGACCATGTAATATATTTAAGCATCTTGAGAACTCAACCTTACTAGGTAGACCCTAAAGACACAAAGATGACTTGGCTTTGCTCTCAAAATAGTAAAAATTTAGTGACTTCTAAGTTTCCAAAATCTTAGATCATACGACAGAACATGAATGTGAAAACTGCTAAAAATTCTTCACATATTTCTAAGGATTAGAAATATATAGAGAAATATAAAATAACAGCATTTGGTAATATAAAACATTTTACCTCTTGGCTTTCAAGTAAAGAGAAGTCATCACTCAAGTCCATATCATTTGTGATGCTGCTCTCTTTGTCAGGCTGCACAGAAAATGATTTAATAGACTCTATTGGGGATGGAGTGCTAGGCAGGCTATCTGGCATTTGATTTCCACTGTCACTCAGTTCACATGAATCAATTCCACTGAGATCTAAACTTAAATGTGAATGATTGTTATGCCAGAATTCTTCTTGATTCTCTGATTTGAAAGATAATTCTCCCACAGAACTATCTTCTTGAAACAGTGGTATGTTTGAGTCTAGAGAATGTCTATCCTCCAAACTCCATTGATCTGAAGATAAATGAGCTGAGGCAAAAGAGTTCATTTTTTCCTCATCTGTTTTTTCATCAAAGTTCTTGATATCTTCAGTTGATATATTTTTATCATTGTCTTTCACTAAAGTAGTCCTATTGTGTTTATGAAGAGTATTTCCATTTTCAAAATTTGCTTTTATAAAAAGTCTAACCAAAGTGTCTTGCCAGCCAACTTGTTGAGATATATGGTGTGCTGCATCTGGTTGGGACTTTAAAATCTGTAAAACCTGCAAAGAGATGAAGAATACAAAATTTGTCAAAAAGCACTCTGTACAAGAAAGTCTTCAGTTCTCTTAATGATAAAGTAATTATTAATTAATGAAAAACCATAGGGGATATACTTTCAAAAGATTACGTCTTGATTGAATTATAAACTATCTGGAGGGTAGATGTAGTGGTTTTAAATAATCCACATATTAGGCACTGACAGAGCAGGAATGCAGCCAACTAAAAGATAAAAAAGGAGGGAAAAAGGAAAATGATCCCCTACATGTAAACAAGCCACTCATTAATTTAATTTCATTATTATTTCTGTTCCTTTTCTCCTTAATAAACTTTTTCTTTCTCTAAAAAAAGAGAAAAAAGGGTAATAAAAAAAAAGATATATATAAGCATACAGTAAAGTTACATCCTCTGAATGAAATAGTTTCCAAGACCGTTACATTTTTTTAAAGCGGACATTGAACATCTACTATGTGCCTGGTACAGCTCTAAGGTGAGTGAGAAACGGGACACACAAAACACTGTAATAGATCCTCAAGAACCCCAAGAACTTTTCAAGAAAAGTTAACCCTTTTTTCATTAATGCTATATTGTACAAACAAAATATTAACTAAATTTCAATTAAAAACACCAATTCCAATAAGATGACTGCTTCTATTTAGCTAAAATAAGAAATTGAAGTTAAGTAGCAGACAATGACATGTAAAATATATGAACCCTACTACCCAATGATTTCACAATTTGGGGAAATAAAGTCCTCAAGTGTTGTTAAAATTCAGTTGAGATCTTTAAATAGTATTTTAATCATAAAAACTTTTATTATAAATGAAAAGAACTTCAGTTTCCAGTGTATGGAATGCCTCTTTCCTGAGTTCTAACTGACAAGTTTGATATAAGGAGATGCATGACATTGGTAGGGACTTCAATATTCATAGCTCTACCACCAGCTGATATTAATTTATATACAACAACATGACAAGTTTCTTTCTCTATTAACACTTATCAATAGTGAGCTACCATTGCTCTATTGATACAAAATACCAGATTAATCTTCTAGATCAAACTTGCTTGGCTAAGAAACTTTTCATAACTATGTGTCCATGAAATAAGACTTGTTAAGTCTGTTTTATTTTAAAATAGTATATTAAAAACTAGGTAATACTTAAAGCTGTTTCTAAAACCTGCTTCAAAGACAATATGGCAAATTAATCAAAATGTAAAATATGACTTCAACTTTGCCACAGCAATTCCACTTAATGGATTATATCCTACAAATGTAATGTCACAAATAAATAAATATGTAAAATAAAGAAGTTCTTAAGAGAAGTCTATTGACATGGAACAACAGGAGAAAACCCAAATGACCAATGTCCATTATCAAAGAACCAGCTAGTATTTAATGAATAGTCATAGGTTAAAAATTTGTGCAACCATTAAAGAGAGAAATATGTTTCTAGATTTACTAATGAAGAAAACATTGTCATGAATAGGGAGTAAAATTCAAAAGAAAAGCAGGAAGCAAACTAAATGCTAAATTTATCAATGGTTACCAATGGAGGAAAGAGAAAGCTATAACTAAGAAAAAGTACATGGGATCACTATTTCCTGACATAGAGGTTAAATGGGTACAACAATGATAATAACTATTGGAATGAATACCCAAATGAAATTTCAGAAAATTATTCCCAAGATGTTTAGAGATCCAGAAACTAAAATACAGTGTACCTATTAGAAATGGCTATAATCACTGAAGGTTCATGACAAAGAAACCATTTTCTGGTAATAAATATTCTACTCCGGAAAGGATAATGAGAGCTAAGAAGAAATTCATAAGCTGATTTCCTATGATTAACACCTGAAAAAAAATAAACTACAAAATCATGTCATTTATAAAGTAACAAAATAAAAACATATTTGGTGGAAAATAATCTAAAAGATATTCACAGTATAGTTATTTCAAAAGTATATGTTAAAAGTTTACTAACCTTTCTGCAGATGACAACTCTAACATTTATATAAGCTCGGTGAGATATATATACCACAGATAACAAATCTTTGAAATTAATAGCAGGGTCTATGGGGGGAAAAACAAAACACTAAAATTAAATTTCACAGATAACCAAAGAAAGAACAGTGGGTAATAGTTTAAGTGCTAAAGTAATTATTTCTCTTTAATTTTAATTTTTTTAATCAGTGGCAGTTACCCTTTTCCCCTAGCTTTATTGAAATATAATTGACATAAGTATTGTACATGTTTAAGTACACCATGATTCCATATAGGCATATATATGGAAATGGTTACAATAAGGTTAATAACATACATCGCTTCACATAGTTAATCTCTTGTGAGTGTGTTGAGAACTTTTAAGATCTGCTCTCTTAATAACTTGCATTATCTTAGTTGCCATGTTGTATGTAAGTTCCCCAGAATGTATTCATATTATAACTGGGAGTTGTAGTACCCTTTTATTACCTTTTACCACTTTCCTACCACCCAGAAACTACCAATCAAATCCCTGTTACTATGAGTTTGATTTTCTGGATTACACACATAAGATGATATAGAATTAGTCTTTCTCTGACATTTCACTTAGCATAATGCCTTCCAGGTTCTTCCATGTTGCTACAAATGGGAGGATCTCCTTTTTTTAATAACTGAAAAAAGTACTCCATTATGTGTGTGTATGCATAGTTGCACATATGAAAATATCACATCTTTATCTATTTATCCATTGAAATATACTTTGACATTTCCATATCTTGGTTTATTATCTATGCTGTGGCAATAAACATGAAATGCAGATATCTCTTCAAGGGAGTGACATCATTTCCTTTGTATATTTACCCAGAAAAGGGAATGCTGGATTATATGGTAGCTTTGTTTTTAATTTTTTTGAGGAACTGCATCTGTTTTGTTTTTTTTTAAGATTCATTTATTTATTCATACAGAACTGGGGTACAGGCCAGAGATGCGGAGGGTGAGAGGATTCACCAGAGACAGAGTGGGGAGCAGAACAGACAGATCGAGGAAGTACACTGCTGAGTGGGCGGGTCAGGAGAGGTCTGCTCCACCATGTGGTCACCTCCGGGGCAGGCGGGGACCGAACTCATGCGGAAGTGGCTTTAGCTTCTTAGTGCTGTGCTTTAACCCGCTGTGCCACCAGGGAGGGCCTGCAATCTGTTTTTCATAATGGTTGCACCAATTTACATGCCCTAAATAGAGCACATGAGCTCCTTTTTTTCTGGATCATACCCAGCACTTGTCTCTTGTACTTTTAATAACAGCCTTCCTAAAAGTAGTGAGGTGATATTTCATTTGACTTGCATTTCCTTGGTGATGAGGATGTATTGAGCATCTTTTCTTGTCCATTTTGGACATTTGTATATCTTTTATATAAAAAAAAAGATTAGTTATGCATACAGAACTTGGGGTTCAGGCCAGAATGTGGGAAGATGAGAGGATTCACCAGAGACAGAGTGGGGAATAGATCAGGCAAACTGATTTATATAGACTGCAGAGGGGAGCAGCAGGCAGGTCAGGTCTGCCATGCCATGTGGGTCATTGCTTTGGTTGGGAATCAGACTTGCACTGAAGTGGCTACAGATAGCTTCACAGTGCTATGTTTTAAGCCGCTGCACCACCAGGGAGGGCCCCCATTTGAATATCTTATTTCAAAAAATGTCTATTTGGATTCTTTGCCCACTTTATTATAATCTCTTTAATAAATGGTGCTGAGAAAACTGTTATGCCAAACATAAAAGCCTAAAGTTGGATCACTTGCTAAACCCACATGTAAAAAAAAAGCTGCACATGAATTAAAATCAATTAAAAATTTAGATAGTAAGACGTGCAACAATAAAATACACAGAAGAAAATAATGTCAATACATTCCATGGTACCATTGTTGAAGTTATTTTTGGGAACTCAACCCACACGGCAAGGGTACTAAAAACAAAAGCAATTAGAATTATCTCAAGATAAAAAGTTTCTATTTAGGCCCTCCCTGGTGGTGCAATGGGTTAGGACACAGCAGTGCAAACTGGTCCTAGCTGCTTCAGTACAAGTTCAATCCCCAGCCCTGGAGGTGATCCACATGGCGCGGCAGACTTTTCCTGTCTCACCCGCTGGTCCCCTCAGCAGTGTACTTTATCAATCTGCCTGTTCTGCTCCCCACTCTGTCTCTGGTGAATCCTCTTGCTGCCCCTGCACCTCTGGCTTGTACCCCCAGTTCTGTATGCATAAATAAATAAATCTTTAAGAAGTTTCTATATTGCAAAAGAAAATACATGGCAATGAAAAAGACACCATATTGAAGGGGAGAAAACATTTACACAATTTACAGCTGGTGAAGGATTATCCAAGATGTATATATAAAAGATTCATATAATTTAACAATAAAAAAATTAAGCAACCCAAAAACAGATATTAACAAACAATTCACCAAAGAGGATACCCAGAGAGTCGATAGATGTATGAAATATCACCATCACTTCCAATATTACAGATGTAGGTTAAAGCCCTAAAGAGATATTATCTCACACTCATGAGAATAGCACAATTAAAAAAACAAGATTTGGAGAGGATGTAGAGGAAAAGGAGCCCTATTACATTATTGATGGTGCAGCCTGGTAAATAATACTGACTTATCTTGAAAACTAAATATAGGAATATCATATGACCCAGAAATCCTACTCTTGGGAATAAAGGATAAACTGTGGACAATAATATAATAAATGCTAAAATAATTACTTCATTTTAAATGAGAATTAGAGCTATATTCAAATTTTACAATGGATGTAATTTTTAAATATTTCATTTCCTTCTCAGCACACTCTAAATAATTGTTCTTTTACTTTGATTGAACATAATGTCCATATTACTTTGCTCACATTATTATTTCTTTCTTTCTGTGCAAATCTTACTTCATCTTATACCTTCTTGAACATGAAGCATCTGATCTAAAATCTATAGTATTGGGTGGGAAGTACAAAAAACAGTTTAACTAAGAATAATTAGAATCAAAAAAGAACATGAAGTCATTGATAGTTCTCTTTTGCCTCTGAGAATTTAAGTTCCTTAAGGAAAATGATTATTTTTGTACCTATTTTCTCTAGTATCTTTTTCTTGTTTTATAGACCTGATTTTTTACTAATCACTCAGTAAAAGAGAAAGAAATTCACTCACATACTGAAGGTCTATCAAGTAAAGTACAATTCTATGATCTGGGGAAACAAAAACAAAAAAAGTACATATGGAAAGAGTCCACCCAAGAAAAGCCTTCTGTACCAAATAACAGCAACCTGAGTAAGGAGGAGAAACAGACGGAAAATATCTGAGAATCACCAAGTAGAATACACCACTATGAAAAACGTCTTAAATGTATCATGATATATTACCAGCCCTCCTCGTACCTATATTTACGATTTGATTGGTGAGGTTTTTCATGAGAGATGTACTGACAGGTGTTTCATTCAGAAGGAGTCCCAATCCTGAGTAGCCCACTTCTCTGAGTCGAATACGTTGTTTACTTCGTTCATAAACATTGGTGCACTTCAACATTTGTTCCAAAACCTAGTAAAATAGTAATACATTTTTCTAAATATAGAGAACTAAAAGCTTGTCATTTAGGCTGATATTGAAAAAAAAAATTACTATACAATATTCTTATCACTTTATTCCTTAAGTATTAAAAAAAGGCCTACCACTAATGAAGATTACTCCTTATCATGCTACAATTAAAAATGAATTTAAAAATAAATTGGACTGAAACAAATCTGTACTTGAATAACTAATGTTTACAATTCTATATGTATTTCTTGATGGACTGGAAAAAAAAATTCAAAATTTTCTTTTCAACGACTAAAGCTTAGATGGAAATAAACTCTGAAGTTTGCAGAGGAACAAAGTGTGTGTGTTCTGCAACAGATGAAGATACTAATAGATAAATCTGTGGTCTATTTAAGGAACAGTAATAAAAAATATTTCAATAACAAAGGAATATATTTGCTCAAATTGGAGGAGGAATTAGTAACCCAATATATCTAGGCACGAGCTATTTTTATTTAAACATGTAATACAAATTTTTTTAAAGATTTATTTATTTATGCATACAGAATTGGTGTAAAGGCTAGAGGTGCAGGGGCGGTGAGAGGATTCATCAGAGACAGAGCAGGAGGCAGAACAGGCTAAGTGACAAGGGAAGGAAGCTGCAGGCAGGTCAGGCGAGATCTGCCACACCATGTGGATCCCCTCTGGGGTGGGTGGGATGGAATTCATGCTTAAGTGGTTTTAGCTTCTTAGTGCTGTGCTTTAACCCGCTGCGGCACCAGGGAGGGCCACAATTGTATATTTAGTACCTAATATTTTAAAACTAGTATTTTAGTTAACAAAATATACATGTTCAATTTAAAAATTATGAGAACGCAAGACATTTTAAATCCATTGTTTATAGAAAACCAAGGTTATATTTTTGGTAAATATCATTCCTATTTTTGTAGTGTCTAAAAAATTATTATACAAATTGTGTTGAGATAATATTTCTAAAAGTGAGACAGTGGGACCCTAAATGTGAAGAATAATCTTGATGGAATATAAACAATCCTTACAAGGCCATTTTTGGAAAACTAATGTTTTGTCTCCACGTAGGGGTCCTTATGTGAGCAAGTGTCTCAGGGGTCATCACAACCAACACTCAAGAGACACTATGACCTGTAACCAGGAATTTCAAAGTAGGCAATTCTGACACGACTCCATTAGCTGACTACATGTCAAATTAATGATATAAAAGGAAACAACATTCATAAGGTGATTAGTAAGAGAGAACAAGAGAATAAATAATTTGGTAGTAGCAATATAACTGATTCCTCCACTTTAGTTAACAAAAAAAGGTGTATGGGAAGCTTCAGAGAGAAGTTTGAAGATGGATATTTTGGATAGCTTAACAAAAAACACACTATATCCTTTGGGAATTTACTAATTTTTCTGGCCTCAGTTTTTTCATCAGTGGATAGTGATATCCAGCTCATAAAGATTTTGCAAGGACTAAGTAACTAATAAAGTAAATATGTAGTGCCTGCCAAACAGTGAATGACACATAAGGCTAATTATTATTATTAACTGCTAAAGTGTCTGATTGGCCGTGTAGACCCACTGTAGGTCAAAAGGAGATGAGAGGTTTTACCTTAAGGATGGTATCACAAAGCAGGCTTTCACTAGTATGTAGATCAGATTACAACATAGTTAGCTTTTTATTAAGCAAACAACAAAAACATGAAAAACATATATCAAAACAAGTTGAACAATTTAAAAGTAGAAAGAATTAGACATGGAAAAAGAATTTATGTACATAAAATGGTGTTACAAATAAATTCAAATACCTACAAATGCCTCCCCAATACAAAGAAGTTACTGTACTTAAAAAATTACTGTACCTTAAAGATGATGTCTCTTAGTTTGTCAGAGTACTTCTGATTTAAGAGCAAGGAATAAAGTATGTCAGCATTTCCTGGTTCGAATAGCAGTAAGAAAAGCTGACCTCTAGTTGGGCTGGTACGTAGGAGGTTGAAGAGTACATCCAAAATCCCAAAGAGCTTTTAAAATCAAACAACACAAAACAAACAACCACACTCATATATGGAAGTGCAATTAAGTCATATACCAGAAGAGTTATTTAAATAATTCTTATATTGCCTAATATTCTAGCTTAATAGGAGTATCTAAGTCAGCCTTGCCTTTTTCTCTGTTATGATTTCAGTTCATTCCACTTCTTTTTGTCTATTCTTTCACTACCCATATTTAACTGCTGAACCATAACTACCCTGCTTTGAAAAGCCACCTCTTCCAGCAAGTCTTTTCTGGTATTCTGAACAAGTCTATTATTAAAAGCTCTATCATCTCTGTATCTCTCTTACAGATATTATCATACTCTTTTGGGGTTCATAATCTTTATCAACCTCTCCTAACAACTTCTAGGCTAAAAGTAAGGCCCCACTATGCTAAAAGTAAGAATGATATTTCATTCATAATTGTACACCTACAATGTCTACTATTATTTTATGTATGTAGTAAGATTTCAACAATAACCAAACGAGCTGACCATGTTTTTGTCAACATAAATTAAAGTTGCTAAGGTTTTGTGTTAAGAACAGTCTTCAGAAAGACCACAGAAACTAGTAAACAGACCTGGGTTCTAGTCCTAGGTTAATCAGCTGAGTTGACTTTTTTAAGTTAAGTCACATAATCTTTCTGAGTATATACCTCCAAATTGTACAAATAGGAAGAGTAATTTCTGGTCTATATATTTCATATAAGTGGTTCTCAAATTTTACCATGCACCAGAAAGACCTGCAGGACTTTGAATATTTTTGCATTTCTGATAAGGTCCCATGTAAAGCACCATAAAATGAGAACCACTTTGTGAGCTTTAAATGAATTAATGTGGAAGTATTTAAACACTGAAAAACATTTATAATGTACTCTTTATGCAGTTGTTATGATTCTAAGTTAACTGTTTTATGAATTATGAAATCTGCCCAGGACTTGATGACAGGTATATATATGTTAAGTGGCATATAAAAATAAACTTCAGAATTGCCCAAAAATAGCAACTATTTCCACATAATAAAGTCTAGCTAATTAAAAAATGTATTATACTGCCATATATTTTATTAAGTTTTTAGTTAGAAGATAAGTTTTACTTCTTTAACTGCATAATATTATATATGACATTATAAATATTTTATTCATCAAATGTGTAATATATAGTATAAGAGATGAAAAGGCAACTGAAATGTTAAAAAATAAAATAAAATTTATCTTGGGCATAATACCTGTTCTTCTTCATTGATAGCAGATATGTAACCCATAATACTTTGTATCTCTTCATGAGTCCCACCTTTGCACAGAAAATATTTAATTAGTCCATACAAAGAAGTCCTTATTGTTCGAATATCATCTAGAAACAGCTCACTATATTTACAATCACTCCTGAAAGAAAAAGCAAAAAATGCAAGAACTGACATTTTAAATTTTTACTTTTTGTATTTTTTATATAAAATAATTCAGTTTAAAAAATATGATTCGCTATAATTATTAGAATTCATGCTATCCTTCATTATGTTTTCTTCTAAAGGACAATTTTCCTGAAATTAGATGCTTCAGTAACAAAGATATATACTATGGAAAGAGTTTATATTTATGTACATTTCACTATGTGGTAATCACAGGTGAGTAATTTACACATTATTAATTCATTTAATTTAATCTTCAAATAACCATAGGGTTTCACAATTTTACTATCTCCTTGTTACAGACCAGAAAATCTAAGAAAAAAATGTTTTATAACTTATCTACAATTAATGAAGCACAAGATTCAAACCCAATGTATGTGATCTATTGCTCATCACTTCAACCTCCAGAGTACCATGCCTCTCTGAAGTTAAAGGACATTATAAATGATAGAAAGTTTAAAAATCTACACATTTCAATCAAGCAACAGACAAAAAAACAGCATCAAAGTGAGAAGGAGTGAGACGTCATACCCATAATAAATCCTAAGTGTATCGAGGAGAAACTGTACACCATACTTCTTTCGGAAAACTCTCCTGCTATCTTTAATGATGGTGGAAAGATACTGTATATGACCTAAAATAGAAAGTTCACTCTTAAATGATAACCTGAAATATAATGACACAGGTAGTAATAAGTCTCTAAAACAATTACAAAGTTTTATCTAATAGTTGGTTCTCACCAATTCGAAAGGGAAAATCTCCATGGTTCCAAATTCTAAAGTCAAAAAGTAAATACTGATACATTTGTTGCAGGAGCTGCATGTTTTTCTCCAGTGACACCTGCTCAATTAGTAATTGGATTGCCATCAATACATTAACATCCATCAAGGTAGCTGGTACCTGAAATTCAAACAGAAGAGGATTCCGTAAAATTCAATATAAATAATATTGTCATTATAAAAATTTTTTAAAAGTAAAAGTATTACAAGAGTAATACAAACACACAGAGTTTTTTTTTTAAAAAAGAATTCCTTATGGGGCTTCCCTGATGGCATAGGGGTTAAACACAGCACAATGAAGCTATCTGCAGCCACTGCAACACAAGTTTGATCACTGGCAGGGAGGTAACCCACAAGGCACAGCAGACCTCTTCTGTCTTGCCCACTGCTCCCCTCAGCACTGTATTTCAGATCTGCCTGTTCTTCTCCCCACTCTGTCTCTGGTAAATCCTCTCACCACCATCCCCCACACCTCTGGCCTGTATCCCAGTTCTTATATGCATAAATAAATAAATCTTAAAAAAAGAAAAAGAATTCCTTGTTTACTCCCTGAGCTGAGTCAAAGTGTAACTTCAGGGCCCTCCCTGGTGGTGCAAGGGGTTAAACACAGCACTATGAAGCTATCCACAGACACTGCAGCACCAGTTTGATCCCCAGCCAGGGAGGTGACCATCACGGAATAGCAGACCTCTCCTGTCCTGTCTGCTGCTCCCCTCAGTAGTGAATTTTGGTACATCTGTCTATTCTGCTCCCCACTCTGTCTCTGGTGAGTCCTCCCACCCCCCACACCTCTGGTCTATACTCCAGTTCTTGTATGTGTAAATAAATAAATCTTTAAAAAATAAATAAACAGAGTGTAACTTCATTGCTGTGCAATGCACAGACCAGCCTGGGAAACTTTTCATAAGGAAACCATGACATTTACTGTGTTTTTATTTTTGTGTTCCCTAAAATAAAATACTTTCAAAATATAATAAATAATATTGTCATTAAAGCATATTCAGAATAATCTACTAAATATAAAAATCTTGGTTAGAAAAATATAAACAACTTAAACATTAATTTTCTGATTTAACACTGGAACTTATTTTCCTACTCCCATATTCGTAAAATAGTCGTATATTTATAAAATATCAGTTATTCTATATATCAGATTCAAAAATTATGCACCATAAGAAAAGATCAGTAATTCCTATATTAAGTGATTTAACATAAGTTTTTAAAAGTTGCTCACAAAATAAATTATATCCACTAGCTGAAATTATATCAAAAATTATGCACTGTAAGAAAAGATCAGTAATTCCTATATTAAGTGATTCAACACAAATGTTAAAAGTTGCTCACAAAATAAATTATATCCACTAATATAACTTAGACTATAATTGTGCAATTTGGAAAAAATATATTTAGGAGGAAAAACATGCCACACAAACTTTTAACTACAATCATCAGTAACATCTACATAATGGTAGACAATAGGCAAGCTCACCTTTTGAAGTAAGGCACCAAGAATAGAAACTCCATGGGAGTGAATAAGATTGTCCTGGTTAATAGGATGTCTTTGAATAAGGTGTTTCACAATCAAAATAAATGTTGCAATTAAATTTTTCTCTAGTCTTGATTCTGTGGAATTGTAAATGTCATTAATAATCACAATTACTTTAATCATGTTCATATCACATTTTCATAATGCACATTTTAACAAACAAGGAAATTGGTTTAGAAATTTACCTCCAATAGTCACATTATATAACACAATTATCAGAGAAAAGAGCAACTATAGATATCTAATGTATGGTGTGTGTATGGTAAATACATGTAATTACCATAAGATTAGCAATGCTGTCATATTTTTATTTAGAGTGTAAACTAGGCAGAGTCGAAAGTAAAAACCAGCATTTTAAGTTTTGACAAGCGTCTTATGAACTTTCTAGCCAAAATTAGTAAACTCAGAGGTTGGCTACTTCGGTTTCTTCATGTAAGACATAATTAAACTCTCATTTCTCAACATTAGTTTGTGATAATTTCATATTATTACCTGATGCCTTTGTGGAGGTCAACATAACCCAGTCTCCTTCTACAGGTGTTATCATTTCAGAAACTGTGCTTTCATTCACTCCTTCAGGAATTTGTCCTTCACTGAAGTGGCTTAATTGTTCCAAAAGAGGAAAGAGTACATTCAATCCACCTATGCAGCTTATGATGTCCTAAAAAGGAAAATTACTCTTTTAAAATATATTAACAGAAGCAACTGTCATTCAATAGCTACTTAGTGCAGATAAGATTACAATTTCCTAAATCTTTAAGCAATGTATAGAATAGCAAAAGCTAATGGAACCTTAAGTAGGTATATGCCTATGTAAGGCAGAGGTAGATAGGGAGGCCAGGGGAGTGTCAATATAATGAATACACAAGAGGCTATGCCAGAGCATTTTTGCTATCTCTTTGTTTTCTACATTTAGGTATTCCAAATACAGGCACTCAAAACCTGACCACATATAGCTTTTCATATTGTTTTTAGGAGTTTTATATATTAAGTAAATGAGCTTTCTGAAAGGCAACTATTTTCTTCCCAGTTGTCATTTCCTTTTACATTTTTTATATTTTTCAAAGAGACCAAAAATGTTTATACTACATGAAACATGAGATTAACACTAACTGATGGATGCATTTTTACAGAGATAGAATTTAGCTAATGATTTCTGTTTTATTAAAGTCATTTTGATTAGGGTTAACTGACTAGAAGATTTAAAAGAGAAGTTTTGCTTTTTTTCCTTATTTACTATCAGTAAGTTCTCTTATAATTATCTTTTATATTTTCTTTTGATTTCACTTAAGCTATAAATACTATTTATAGGAAACTCAAAATTCTTATTTGAGGAAATTCTGTATTTTAGAAACATGATATTCCGACTTTCATATTATGTCAAGTAACTTTTACTACTTTAGCCACTTGATCAACAATATTACTGCAATTCCCTGGGCCAGGCAACAGTGGTACCTCCTTCAAAGTTCCACAAGACTACAGGGAAATCAAACAAGCAACAAATCACTGTTCACAATGATAACTGAGCAAAAAAATGCTACTGAAGCTCATGATAAGAGCAGGTAATTTAATTTTGGAAAATAAGTAGCAGCCTTTAGAAAGAAATTAAAACATTCTGTCCAGCTGAGATTTACATAAGAGCCATATGAGAAAGGCAGAAAAGACAGGCTAAAGGGGAAACTAGAGAGGAGGAAGTTAGTGAAAGTAAAGATTTGAATTTATTTAAAGCTGATGAGTAGGAGGCAATAGGACAGAAATATTGGATACAAGAGAAAGGGGTATTCAGTAAGTGGCAATGATAGGAGGGTTGAAATCTGTCACAAGGTTGAGGAACTAAATAAAAAGTGAACCAATTAAGGCATATTTTTCTTATGGAAAACGTGAAGCTCATGGTATAGCTAAAGAAATTTCAAGCAAATTAGTAATTCATTTTCTTACCCTTCAAAATGTATATCTTGTCTGCAAACAATTACTCAGATAAATCTGGTAGTGCTCAAAAAAACAGGTTTTTTTTTTTTAAAGGAACAGTAGCTTCTATAATATGTTGTAATCTATCATTAACTTACCTTAATGTCCCAGTTCACTACCTTGTTTCCTGTTAACCTTCCATGCAAACAATTAGCAGACAAATCAAGACAGATAGAGTTTTTACAGGCCTAAAAAAAAGGAAAAATATGACAAATAGATAAGTACAATGGAAACAAACTTAACTTTAAATATATGTGGAACATTTTGTCACAATTTTAAAGATATACAGTACAATCAATGAAAAGATACCTATAAAATTAAAATTAATGTTCCTATTATTTGATCAGTTCTTAAAAAGATCAAGGAGTAGACTCTAAACACTCCTCTAATACACGATTGTCCTCTGATGGATGAGCTGTAGCTAGAATTTACCATTCACCAATCACATGATTTTAAATTTCTCTTTTAAAGCAATCAATATATGCACAAATATAATTCTGAGTTTTAAAGAAATTCAATGTTTTACTCTCATTAATATCTCTCTTGGTACAATTTCACTATACAGATAACAGGTGTGATTAAAATGTGAGGTAGGAATTACAGAACAGAAAGATAGATCATGATAGAAAAATCCAATAACAAGCATAAAACTTCCGCCTTCAAGCTACTGGCAATTCTAATTGCATTCAGATTCAGAGCTTGTTCTGCAACTCTAAAAACTGTAAGTTATTTGTTATCTTCTATTAATGCTAAAACAGCCTGAGTTTTCTCCATAATAGGAAGAAAATAAAGAAATCCACAAATTTTAACAAAGGTGATATGGCTATTGCTTCCTTCTTAAGACAACATTTAATAAAACAAATTGAAATTGAAATCATATTTAACTCAATTAGTCTCAGAGAGATAAATGTTATTTTCTTCTGTTACTATCTCAGTTTGGGTACTGCTAACCCAAGCTGTTCATTATTGTTCTAAATACAGTAATATCCTAATGGTCTAACTACCTCCAGTTGTCTATCCCTCCAATTCAACTTGCACACAGCAGTTTAAAGAGTGCTTCTAAAATGCATATCTGGTCATCTTATTCAAGGAACACCCTGATCATCATATTCAGGGAACAAAAAAGACCTGAGAAAACATATATATATATAAAATCACTGTCAAAATGCAACTTAAAATCTACTGTAAACAAGACATATCTTTTTGGGAAAAGGTTAGTGTTATAAAAAGTAAACAAAGAGGGCCCTCCCTAGTGATGCAGTGGGGTAAAGCACAGTACTGGAGAGCTAAAGCCACTTCAGCTTGAGTTCGATAGCCGCCTGCCCCGGAACTATCACACTCACATGGCGTGGCAGACCTCTCCTGACCCGCCCGCGGCTCCCCTCAGCAGTGTACTTCGTCTATCTGCCTGTTCTGCTCCCCACTCTATCTCTGGTGAATCTCACTGCCCCTGAACCTCTGGCCTGTACCCTAGTTCTGTATACATAAATAAATAAATCTTAAAAAAACAAAAAGTAAACAAACAAAAGAGACTCAAGAGACATAACAACAATAGAAGGATCTCAAAATCTTGAATTTTTTTAATTAAAAAAAATTCAAGTTAACAAATATTTTGGGGAAAATTTGAATGAGTTATATAGTACATAAAATGATAATTTGCACAGGCAGATAAATGACTATGTAGAAATATTTAGGTGTAAAATGTCAGGATAGCAATTACAAACTGCTATCACAAGTTATTTGATAGATAATGGTGTGTGGCAATCAATATATTCCAACTTATAACTAGAAAATTAGTAGAAGGGGAAGATAGCATCAGAGGAAGTTTCAGGCTTTGCTCCTGGGAGAATAAATTATAGATTTCCAGACACTGAACTTAGTGGATCCCATGAGATGGAGTGAAACCAGAACATCTCCTAATCATCACACCAATGCTGAGCTCTAGTAAGAAGAGATGGTTTGGAAAATGAACTGTGGGCACAAAGGGTGAGGAAGGGAGAGGCCTCCACCAGGGTGGAAACTGGGATTCATAGTTGGACACAAAGAGGTATTTGCATGTGCATGTAACCATGAGAGATGTAGGTGAGAGTGCTGGAGTGAGCCAACTGGACAGGGTACCCAGTGAGGAACACAAAGCTCAGTATGGCCCAATTCCCACCACACACTGCCCTTGCTTGGGATAAGGCAGATACAGACACCTAATGGATACAAAGAAGCTGTGCTGATAAGCTGCACAGAAGTCTAGACTGTAGAGTGTAGATATACAGGTCTGACTCAGAGATGAAGGGCATTGGCAGTAACAGACAACAGAGCAGTAACAGACAACAGACCTACCCAGGCTTACCATTTTCAACAGCAACAGACCTCTCTGTTACCCTCTGCCACCCATAAAAGAATCAACTACAGATTAGTTCTCTGACATACTCTGCCACCTACTGGAAAAATGGAAGTTCTACATCCTTAATACTTAGTAAATAATATAAGAAGAAAGAAAAACACCAAAAGTAGTAAATTGACACCTTAGGGCAATACTGTACCACACAGAGAGAATAAATATGCAAACCAGCCGCAAAGAAATGAATGCTCTTTTCCTCCTGTCAGATACAGAACCAGCCGCAAAGAAATGAATGCTCTTTTCCTCCTGTCAGATACAGAATTCAAAAGAGCTGCAATAAAGTCAAGGAAATGAAAGAAAACACAGAAAAGCTAATCAAAGATATACAAGAAAAAATGAGGGAAAAAGGAATGTCCTGAGAAATTAAATTAATGAGGGCCCTCCCTGATGGCACAACGGGTTAGAGCACAGCACTGTGAGGCTGTCCACGGCCACTGCAGCACCAACTGGATCTGCAATCAGGGAAGGGATGTGGCCCTCATGGTGCAGCAGACCTCTCCTGTTTCCCGGGCTGCTCCACTTAGCAGTGTACTTTGTCAATCTGCCTGTTCTGCTCCCCACTGTCTCTGGTGAGTCCTCTCACCCTTCACACCTCTGGCCTGTACCCCAGTTCTGTATGTATAAATAAATAAATCTTCAGAAAAAAGAAATTAAATTAATGACAGAATATTGAAATCGAATACTGGAGTAAGAAAACAATAGCAAATGTAGAAAAAGATTTAAAAATGACAATAGAAAATACTAGCCCAAAATTGAACTAAAAGTAAAGATGCACAAAGAACCCAGGTGGAAGAAAAAGATGTGAAGGAAAAAAAGAATTATTTCAAGAATTATATCTGACTCAAGGAAAAGAGTCAATCTCAAAATGAGCATCCAAAAAAGGGAAGAGAAAGAGGTAACAGAGAACTTATTCAAAGAAATAGCATAGGAAAAGTTCCCAAACCTAGAAGAACTAAATACATAAGTCCATGAAGCCAAGGAACACCAGGTGACCTAAACATAATGAGACCTACATTACCAACATAAGAGTTCAAGGCAAGTGAAGAATATTGAAGCTGGCTATGAAGAAGAAACAGATAACCTATAAAGGATCCTAAGTCAGGTTTATATCTGAATTCTGGGAGGATGTGATATGGTAAGAAGAGAATAGAATGATGTGATTAAAGATAGTTAAAAGTTAAAACTGTCAGCCAAACCAGTCTGTCCTGTAAGACTCACCTTCAGATATGAGGGAAAATAAAAGCCTTCTCAGAAAGAGTTATAGGAGTCTGCAAACACTAGACCCTCCCAATAAATGCTGAAAGGAGCTCTTATATCTAAATTGTAGAGTAAAACATCCACAATGGACTGAATAAGAAAATACAGCCACAAAATTAAGTATAAAATGGGAGTATAGACTTTCATATAACAGTAATCACTGTGAATATAAATGGAATAATTTCTCCAATTAAGAGGTACAGGGTGTCAGGTTGAATTAGAACCAGAAAACAAATCTGAGCTCAAAAGATGAACACAAGGGTCAATAAAACTTTAGGGAGCAAAGCTACAAGTGAATGGTGACCCAAAAGAGGAGAACAACTGCACTATATATAAGGTAGACAGACTTCTAGCTAAAAATGTAACAAGAATTAAGGATGGCGACTATAAGATTAAAGAAATAATACACCAAATGACATAAGAGTAATGAACATATATGTACAAAGGAGCTTCAAAAATATATACAGCATTGTTATCAAATCTGAAAACAGATACTAGAAGGCAGTTATGCTAACTGCAATACCACCAACACACCTAAAAACAGACATTGGAAAAAACACATTTGTGACTGAGAAATTCAATGAACCACTTTTAACAGTGGACAGATCAACTACAGAAAAATAATAGTAAGGACACAACAGCCTTTATACAAAAACATTAGATTATATGCGTTTACAGACATTTACAGGGCACGACACCCACCAAAAATCTGACTACACATTTTTCTCAAGTGCACATATAAGACATTGTCCTTTGAAAATTAATAAATTTTAAATTGCAATTCAAGTCTCCTCATTTTCAACTACCCACTAAAATGACAAAAGGAATAAAAAGAATTTGAGTTCACAGAATAGTTATAACTGGGACAATCCAAGCATGCATTTTACTCTCACCTTTGCAGTGTAGTGAAGAAGGACATTACCCGGTAGATCAATCAAGTCGGACTCTTGAAATTTCCAAGGGCTTAAACAGTTTGGACCTAAAAAATGTTTATATATACCTCATTAATGATATAGGACATGTATCTGTTTAGTATAATCAGAAAAAAACTTTGGCTAACCAAATTTTAACATATATAGCTAAAGTATACTTTATTTTTATCATCAAATCTGAAAACAGACACTGGAAGGCAGTTATATTAACCGCTACACCACCAACAATCCTGAAAATAAACACTAGAAAAACACATTTGTCCTGAGGAATTCTGTGGAAAAATTGACCACAAAGAAAATAACAAGGACACAACAGCTTTATTTTTATGTAATCTCCAGTTTGTCCAAAACCAGAAATGTTGGGGGTTTATCAATATCCGCTACATTAAGGAAATTTTCAATAGTTTTTAAGGTATCAAATATCACAGTTCATTAATTTACCGAACATAAATCACTTCAAGTTGGTAAGACCAAATAATAAAATAACCAACAAGTGAATAGATATCACAAGAATGGAATAGTAAATTATTACCAAAAAAATTTAAGAAATATAAATTTAAACAAAGTTCTACTTTACATTAAAAAAAGAAACAGTAATGATCATTCAATCTTAATGAAGTCATCGTCAATTTTACATATTTTTGTATTCCTGGTAGATACTATGAATTGATATATCCCTTTTGGAACATGTTTCAGTAAAATGCATTGAGAACCATAACAATATCATGCATTTTGAATATATATCCAGAGAAATTATCAGAAGTAACTTGCCAAGAGTTAAAATGAAACAAACATGATTGTACATTTCATCATATATAATATCTGAAGTTGACATCAGCATAAAAATTATAAACAATCTAAATAATTCATTATGACTTCAATAAAATATTACATATAACTATTAAAAATGATCATTCTGAACAAATAATTAGTATTTCTTTTTTTTTTTTTAAGATTTATTTATTTATTCATATAGAACTGGGGTATAGGCCAGAGATGCGGAGGGTGAGAGGATTCACCAGAGACAGAGCGGGGAGCAGAACAGGCAGATCAACGAAGTACACTGTACTCTGCTGAGGGGAGCAGCGGGTGGGTCAGGAGAGGTCTGCCACACCATGTGGTCACCTCTGGGGCAGGCGGGGATCAAACTCATGGGGGAAGTGGCTTTAGTTTCTTAGTGCTGTGCTTTAACCCGCCTTGCCACCAGGGAGGGCTCATAATTAGTATTTCTAAGAGAACTGTAAGTTGAAGAAATTGTAGAAATAAAATCCAAACTATATAGATGTAATGAATATATTAAATGAAATAGTATTATTAACTTTGGAATTTATTTATAGGCTAAAAATCAACTTCAAATATTTTGAAGTTGTAAAGAACAGGGTTCTATTATAAAGAACAGTCCAGTTCATCACAAAACTCCCATGTAATTCTAAAAAAGCACATAATGATAAATAATAAGCTATTCTGAAATTAATATACATGACTCCTTAGATGTTTAACTCATAAACATTCTATCAAAACATAGATACAATTTTGAAAACAGTTATAACAATAGTTTTTAAAATTAAAACCAAAAGAAAAAACAAAAAAAAGCATCTTGTACTCTTACTTAAGGACTCCTAATTCTATTGCCTTCATGAATTCTTCTAGTTTTTAATAAGTATATTATAAACTTGTCAAATTTTGAGATAAGATTCCTTATAATTTTAGACTCAGTCTCATGATTTCCTAGAAGACAGGCTTATACCTCATTTCATCAATTTATTAAAGTTTATCAAAAGTACTGGCATTACTGTAACTTAACTGCAAACCATCTCTCCCCAAATTCATTATAATGCTCCTACTCCTAATCGACTGTAGGGCCTTAATTTAAGGTGAAATGATTCCATGGAGGCAGGCACTAATTTGACAGGGCTACTTTAAGAACAGGTAAGATATGTATAGTCTCTGCATGCAGAGGACAGACTCCAGGAGAGGATACAGCAAAAGGCAGTCCTAGACACCCAGGAGAGCCTCACCAAAAAAATCAAGCCCCACAGAAATTTGATCTTGAAATTCTAGTTTCCAGAATTATGAGAAAATAATCTTTAAGCTATCCACTTTGCAGTATTCTGTTAGGGCAGTCCTAAAAGACTAATACAGACAGTATTATGGATCAGAAATGAGATTTCCCAATATTTGTTTTATCTATGTAGTTTGGATTTTATTTCTACAATGTACCATCATTACAATGTACTATAATTAACAATACTATGTAATATACTTTAAAGTTGTTAAGACAGCAGATTTTAAATCTACTAATAATTATGTGAGGGGACAAACATGTTCACTAACTTTATTATAATAGTATTTTGTAATACATATGTGTATCAAACTATCACCACTATACAACTTAAATTTACATGTGTTATATACCAATAATATCTTAATAAGCATAATGGAAAAGCTTGGTATGTGGTCGGTTTTTTTCCCTCCCTTTCAGTTTCAGTTAAAACAAATATAAACTTCAGATAAAATATACTTAGACAACAGAAAAATTAAACAGTATAATTGTACATGCTCACCTGCCAAATATAATGCTTTCACCTGAGAAGGCTGTAGTGCTTCATAGAAGATGATAACAGACCCTAGCTGACCCTCCAGAGATGTGGGACAACCCCACTCACTGTCTTGGGTTCCAGCTGATATCAATTTGGAAACCAATTTTGATTTTTCAATAGTTCCTCCCCAGGAGGCTGATGATAGAATTCCACCAAATGATGTCCGATGTGGGGTAATAGGAGAAGAAAAAGGTGGATCTGGGATTTGGGATGGTGGAGGAGTGGTAGTTCTTTGCCCAGCTGAACCAATGCAGCAGGAAATAAAAGGCTAAAATTAAGAAACAAAATAACACATTTTTAAATTAAACTCATATTTAAAATAAATAGTTCAAAAAGTTAACCAACTAGATCAAAAACAAACCTGACCATGAGACCCAAATGCATGTATACACATTAGAAATTATTATAGATGTTACCTTTGATGTATGGGATTTGGATACATTACTTTTACAACTCACTTAGAATCTCTTGTAAATTTTGAACTTTTGGTGAGGACATATTTAAAAATAAAATTTTAAACTTTACTATACCCTAAAATAGATAAAACTACTCTTCTCCCATAAAATCTATAAAAGGAGAATCACATATCAGTTTAATAATGTTAATATGTTTACCCTGAAATGAGCTTCAAGATGAACAACTACAAGAAATAACTGAATCCTGGGCTTTCCCTGATGGTGCAACAGGTTCAAGTACTGCATTATAAAGCTCTCCCAAGCCACTGCAGCATGAGTTCAATCCCCAGTCAGGGAGCTGACCCACGTCTCCTGACCTGCCCACTGCTCCCTTTAGAAGTGTATTTCAGTAAATCTGTCTGTTCTGCTCCCAACTCTCTCTGGTGGATGCTCTCGTCACCAACACCTCTGGCCAGTACCCCAGTTCTGTATGCATAAATAAATAAATCTTAAAAAAAAGAAATTACTGAATCCTAAAAACACTCAGGAAATAATCTAACGTTACATTTAGGGAAAAAAGCCCTTTCTAAGTTATCCAAATATTCTCAAAGAACTTAAATCTTCAGAATCACCCCAGTAAATAAATTCTACCTTATACCTAATTATAATGTAAAGGTTTAAAGGTTCCTTATTTTCATCTCAATTCACTGGAGATGGAAAAGAATCCATCATTAATAATCTAAGTACTTACTAGGAAATTTTTATTAAATGATCCTTTGCTCTATTCAATTTGTTTCCCCTGTTTAGCATGTCTTTTTTTATTTTAAAGATTTATTTATTTATGCATACAGAACTGGGGTGCAGGCCAGAGGTGCTAGGGGTGAGAGGACTCACCAAAGACAGAGTGGGGAGCAGAACAGGCAGATGGACTGAAATACACTGCTGAGGGGAGTAGCGGGTGGGTCAGGAGAGGCCTGCTACACCATGTGGGTCAGCTCCGTGGCAGGGATTGAACTTGTGCTGCAGAGGCTGCGATAGCTTCATAGTACTGTGCTTTAACCTGTTACGCCACCAGGGAGGGCCCTGGCATGTCTCTTTTTCTAAGCCTTTGATTATATTCCTTTTTTGAAAGATTTTCATTATTACATATTACATGTTTTCTAACTTCATCTAATGATTACAGGTTACCAAAATTAAACCTACTATTTCTGAGTACAGAGAAAACACTTTAAAATTTATGGGCACTTATTTAGCATAAACAGAACCCTCTACATTAAACAGAAAATATTCAAGAGTTTTCAGTAAATTGGTCACATAAGAAACAGGACAGATGTGCTTACTTCATTCATGGCAGGAAATCTTAAAGGGGCAGACACCTTCTGCTGTCCATTGTCATAGATGTAGATAAGGCTTTGACCAAAGGGCCTTTTTCCAGGCATGTGAACAATGGTTATGTTGTGCTGATAAAGTAAAACATATATTTAAAAGGTAAAAATTATATTAAGTCTAAGTTTCCAGAGAACCATCTATAAAAGATAGAAAATTAAGTAAGCATAATTCAGTGTCGATCTAAATTATACTCTCAAAGTAAATTATTATTCTCTGTACTATAAAAGCACTTATATCTGTCTCTATCTAGTCTACAAATAATTGTGACATTTCTATTTTTGAATTCTTCAAGTCTGAGCATTCTTTAGATTCAATTTTTCAACAAGATTCATTTTCAGTGAATCTTCTCAAAAAATGTTAAGAAAAGCAACAGAAATGCATTGTTGTTTACCATTTATGTTCCTATTTTAAATTGAAACTCAGTCACATTTGATTATAAAATGCTAACATTTCATTTTAATTTTTTTAGTATAATAATTACTGCTGAATTTAGAATCATGATAATAAATGGTATTAACCTCATAAACAAACTGCAATAAGAATAGTACTTAAATTTACTTGATGCTCACAAAGCAGATGATGGCACTTGATATATATCATCAAATGTGTTTTTCTAAATCAAAGAACCAAAAAGTTTAATGTAATGCTCTAAAGTCTTACCCAAAGGGAATCACAGAAACTGTGGTCAGGAAGCATAACTGTTGCATATTCTCTTTTTGTACATACTGCCACAACCAACATACCTGAATGGGTAATAAAAGCTTCAAAACCCATGCCACTTCCTGTAAAAAAGCTAACAAAAATACATCTTATCAGAATTTCTGAGATCAGTTATTCATTATTATAATCACTGAAGCACACAAAAATATATTAAATATGCTGTGGCTTACATTCTAAGCTTTTTCTGTTCAAGAATCACAATATATATTGTTATAACAATATTCATTTATGTTCCATAACATGTACCAGTACCTGTACAACTGTTTTCTTTTTCCTCCTTTGTTGGCACTGCCAACCATCAATTGATCCTGGTCTAAGCAAATCCAAGCATTGAAAGAAAAGGCAGACCCTGGCCATTTCTGTATGGAAGGCACAGAAATCCCTGCCATACTGTGTGACAAATTAAAATACTGCAGAGCATTCTCTAGACTTTGTTTTCGGGCCATTGTCAGGATTGCTCGAGTCACAGGAATGGTATAAGGGTGAATATACTCAGATTCATCCACTCTCAGTAATCTCAGTAGTCGACGGATTTCTTCGGAGCTCACTGACTGACTCCCTAAGGACCCATGCAGCGCAATCAAGTTCTCAGCACAAGTTCGATGGAGGGAAGAATGGGAATCAAGTGTTTCAATGATTTGAATTCCCATGTTTGCATTGACACAAGTAGTTCGGCTCTGCCGATTGATACAGCAAATTCTTTTCAACCAATCGGAGATGAAGATTTGCAGGTCATGAGACTCTAGCTCTGGAAGCCACTGGATAAGAAGCAAGAGAGGCTGAACATTACTAATGCCCAAAATTCCAACGGAGGTGTGATCACCCTCTACAGCCTGTGAAGCAAGAGAAAAGACAAAAGATTGGCTCCCATATTTGATATAGAGATGACAGAACTTCTTTAACTAAAGCTAAAAAACTCACCATATTCATAAGTTCTTTAAGTAGTTCCAATGGTGGCTGACCCAGGGATTTTAATACTTCAAACAGATGTGTATAGCCAATTCTTTCTTTAAATACTTCCTAGGGAAAGAGAAGTTAATACATCAAAGCATATTATCAAAGACTGAATTTGTCAGGGTATTAAAAATATGTTTATTTAAGTAATATTAAACATTATAAATTCAATATTTGTTTTCTTTATTCACATGTCTTCATCTTAAATGGCTCCACATACCTTCTAGAATGCTAAATGTTAAAATAATTTACCAAAATGGAAAATAGCAATGAAATGTGTACTATAATACAGTAAGAGAAATGAGACTGTAGCCTCAAAGGACTAAATTAAATAATACTAGAAATACTGATTAGAGGTCAGAAAAACGTGTACACAATTTTCTCTATGCTCTTTGTATTTAAATGGGGTGAATTATGGAAACCTAAGTTTAATTTAGCAAGCTCTAAGTGACAGGTATTTTTGAGCTAGTAAGTTTCCAAAGACAGAAAATATAAAGACAATCAAAAATCTTAGTAAAATTGGGCAAGTAACAACAAGCAGAAATACATATAGACTCAAAAATCAAAAGATTTAACAAAGATTATCTCTGGGGAGGAGAATTATTTGGGGACCTACGTAGAGAGAAAATGTTTTTCAAAATATATTTTTTAAATAACCTTTTGAATTTTAAACCATGCAAGACAATGTACAGTAAAAAAGATTATTTTTGAAAAAAATTTGAACATCATTTTAGGTTTAAATTTTATAATGCAGTACAGATTTACACAGAAAAGTTAGTTTCTTAACAAAAATCAATGTAAAGTAAGGACTATGACTATTGGCTTAGGGAACACAGAATAATTCATTCATTTCTGGTACTGGAAAGGTAAGGCATAAGATAAATCAGAGGTGGTAGAGAAGAAGGTAAAATGGTAATAATAATAATATTAATAGGCACTTACATTTAACCAGCACTTATGTTGTACTTGGTCCTATGCTTAGTACTTTACACAAATGATCTGATTAATCCTAAAACCACACAATCAGGAAACTACTAACACAAAATCAGTGTAAGTACAGTAGTAGTGCATGACAACCAGTGGCAGTGCATGAGAAAGAAGAAAACCTGAGTATTAATGACTACAAAGAAGCAGAATTTCCATAGCCATCTGGAGAAAACTAAATTTACTGGGATATTCATGTGAAAATTGTTGATAACTGACCAGAAAGTGAAGAAGTTATTATGGTATTAATGAAAAAAATCTATGATCTAAAATTTAATTCCTTAAACAAACTTCTTAAAATAATCATTCAAAAGCAATAGTCTCTTCCCATTTGATGACACTATAAATCCCTTTAGTTTACAATGTAGTTATCAATGCTTTAAATAATCCCTAAGAAGTAGCCATATGTGCTTGCCTTTAATATAGTCAGCAAAATGATAACTATACTGAGATATTTTGTGAACTATTTCAAGTGTTAAATTATATGCATTACATACTTTCATGTATTACTTTGGAAATTATATAGTAAAAACTGATGTGACCAAGATTAACATTTAGAGCACCTTTGCAGCTGGAGATTTGTTCATTACTGCTGTCAAAGCCTGAATGGTCGATACAGCCAAACAATCCAACTGTCCCTGAAACACCTATAATAGGGGGGGCAAAGCAAGAAATTAACAAAATTGTTCATGATTTGTATTCAGTTAGGAAACCTTTATTCAGAAAACCTGAAAAAATAATTACTTAACATGCATGATATTCTTCTTTCAGTGGAATGGAATTCTGACAATGACCTGCAAGAAAAGTTACAAATTTGACAGAAAATAAATCACCTGTCAAAAAGGATAAGAATACATTCACTCACTACATTAAAATGTTTTGGGAGGTGGTGAGGGAGAACAACAAGCTTAGTACATGCTTTTTAAAAATAATGGACAATCTCAAGAGGAAGGGAGAGAGGTCTATCATTGGAAATTCTATTTTTCCAAAATTCCTTCAAAAAATACACCTGAATCCAAAGCTTTAAATTTCACTGATAGGTAGTAAGATGTTTAAAACCCAACTATAATTAAAAAAGTATGTGCATACACTAATCAATTAACAATTGCTAATAGGTGCATACACAAATCAATTAACAATGAAAATAGGTGTCTATTTTCACATAAAATATAGAATTTAAGGCAGAACAGAAAATGAAATATGCAACTACAAACACTCTCCTATCTTTAAGAAGCCAATATTTAACACCAAAGTTATCAGATAAAATAGACCAGCTCCACTTTGTCTAGCTCTATTTAAGTTTCATTAGAAAAGAGTTGTGTTAAACTTCAGGACAGTGCACGTACAGCAAAAAAAATAAATAAATATCAACAATATTAAGAAACTGAACATAACTATCATATTATTTGGCTTTATCAACCATGGAAATAGCACGAGAACTAAAAAGTTCCCAAAATCTGCTCTAAGAAATGTATATTATGAATTGAAGCTTGCCATTATACAAACAGTACTTTCCTCTCTCACTCACAGTAAAAGGTGACTGTTTAAATCTTTGTCATTTTTAAGCTAAGTTCTACCACTTTCAGATAAAATATTTAAGCTATTAACTCATTTTTTGTTGATATTTATTAAAATTTATTACATAAAATACCATATTATAATATGCATTACACATTTTCAACCAGTATTTCATATAAATAGGATATTTCCTAGACTTTATAAGAGGACTAAGCATCCTAATACTTACAAGAAGGAAACTTAATTTAAACTTGTAACTATTATAACTATTATAAAAAGGTCTTAAGAGTTTCAACGTCTTATAAAATTCTAAAATGGTATTCTATAATAGATATTTCATATCCAGAACACATTATCATGTCTCTCTTTATACCATAATTCTATTTCTAAATGCTAACGGTAAGATAATGTTAATAAAAGACATCATGTAAGTTCTCTCACAAATATTTTGAGAGAAAAAAGTGAGCAATTTTTTTTCAATTTTTTCCCAAACTTATGTTACTTAATGTATTAGGAATAACAATATAAATTGCATATTTCTGCCTTATATTACATACAGAATAATGTTTAGAAAGTAAAAAAAAAAATACTTGTCATACTAAATTAAGACTCTAAGTATTTAGCATCTTCTTCCCTTCCTCCAAGATTTGGGTTGTCCATTGAATTATAATCATTACTTGTCAACAGGAAGCAAAGAATCAAGATATTAAAACTGACCATACATATTCACAAACAAAGCCCTAAGACCCCCAAATACCACAATGCTTAGAAAAAGAAGCCCCCAAATATGAATTTATCACCAGGAAGACAGTATTGATACTGGGATCCCATTCCTGTACTTTGTAGCTTCTCAAACTGTTGGTCATTTATATTAACCTACAAAATTTCAATATATACATCTTCTAGATTAAAGCAACTAAAAGTTTTAATAATGTTTAAAAATAATGCAGATTAGAATTAATTAATTCTAATTTGTGAATATTAAGACATAATGACAGAAGTACAGGAATAGTTGTTCCCATTGACTGATTTTGGACTTCAGCTGAAACAAGATGCAGGCTATGTAGATACCTGGTCCTCATTCATTTCTGTCAGTAATTTGTTGGCAAGGTCTTTCTCGTTCTTGTCTGCCACCTTATTGTTAGCATTTAAAAATAGCTGTTAAAAACAGAGACAAGAATAGTGGGGAAAGAAAATTAAATTGTTACCTATTAAGCAGAAATGAAACTTAAATGGATTGCCATGCTCTTTGAAAATAAATCCAAGATTCCACTTGTGAGGTATGCCACTTTGAAACTGACAATCAACTACTTATTTTTTGGGTTAGAAACTGACATTAGTTCAAATATTATATGATTTATTAATTATTATGCTTTCTCATTTACTATTTATTACATATATATCTCAGAAGTTAGCTACTAAAATAAAAACAGCAATTTAGTTAATATTCCTAAATGCTTAAATAATCAACAAACAATGCCTTACAAAAAAAGGAAATCATTTAGATAGACAAAATAGCCTATAATTTCAGTGACAAATGTGTTTGTGAAATGCTATTAAATTAATTTTAACATGGTTCTTTCTAAAACTCTCTCAGTCTCAAATAGGCTAATGTACACTTTGATGAATAAGGTCAGGATATAGCATTTCCCAAACTTACATGGCCACATATTTGTTAAAAACTCTGTTAATAGTGTCCTCCAAAATTATCAGAGTTGAGAATAATTATATTAGTTTATACTAGAAAAAGGAATTATCTCTGATTGTCATGGAAATTGCTGTTTTCTGAAAGAAATAAAGGAAGATCTTAGACACAGTTTAGGGAAAGAGAAACAAAAGCTAAGGGAGGAAAACATGTGCTAAAAAAGGTATATTATCAAGAGCATCAGCCTAAATGAAGTTCTTCTAAGAGGTCTATCACTTCGGAAATAAGAAAAATAAATAATTGCTGAAATAAATTAAAATAAAATGAATAAAAGTATGGTATATTATGGTATTAGAAGCATATGTAAGCGCAACATAGTAGAATTAAGTGTACACAATATACATTTGGGAATCAGAAACCTGGGTTGGAATCTTGCTTCTATTACCTTCTATTACATAATAACCTGTTTAGCTTTAAGAAAGACAACTCTCCAAACATTTCTCAAAAATGAAAAGATTAACATGTCATGAAATAGGTGTGCAGATTAAATGAGACAGTCCAAGTTGGCTATTAATGTGGTATCTGGCTAATAAGAATCATTTAAAAAAATGAATGTTGATATTGTTATTACCGAAGACTCTAAAGCTATTAATATTCCATATTTTCTAGGTACATAGACACAAGAACATTCAAAACTGATAAAAGAAAAATCAGTAAAATCTTTTCAGAAAGCAATACAGAAAACCACATGAAGAATCTTTTTAAAGTTCTCTCTCTTTAAATGGATTGTTTTTCTTAAAATCCACCCTAGTAAGCAGAAAAATCACACCAAGATTTTAGTACAGGGATACTCACTTCAGTTTTATTTACAGTAACAAAAAACTAAGAAAGCACCCAAACACCCAACAATAATAAAATAGTAAAATAAATTACGGTTTATCCACAGGCTGAAAAGAGAAGTTCTCAGATCTTTCTAGTGTCAGGAGCTTGCAGCATTCTTTTTTTTTTTTTTAAAGATTCTATTTATTTATGCATACAGAACTGGGGTACAGGCCAGAGGCTCAGGGGCGGTGAGAGGCTTCACCAGAGACAGAGTGGGGAGCAGAACAGGCAGATGGAGGAAGTACACTGCTGAGGGGAGCAGCGGGCGGGTCAGGAGAGGTCTGCCACACCATGTGGTCACCCCCGGGGCAGGCGGGAATCGAACTCATGCAGAAGCAGCTTTAGATTCTCAGTGTTGTGCTTTAACCCACTGCGCCACCAGGGAGGGCCGCTTGCAGCATTCTTAAAAATTATTGAGATGGCCCCCAGGTGGTCCAGGGGTCAAAGACTCCACGCTATCAAGCTATCACCAGCCACTGCCTCATAAGTTCTATTCCTGGCCAGGGAGCTGACCCACGTGGCACAGCGGACCTCTCTTGCCTCAGCTGCTGCTCCCCTCAGCAGCCTATTTTAGTAGGTCTGCCTTTTCTGCTCTCCATTGAATCCTCTCACATCCCACCTCTCTGGCCTACACCCCAGTTCTTGTTTGTATAAATAAATAAACCTTTAAAAAAATTGAGAATGCCAAAGAACTTCTATTTCTGTGGGTTATATCTGCCAGTATTTCCCATATCAAAAATTAAAATCAGTACACTAAAAATTAATTATTCATTTAAATTACCATAGTAACTATACTACATACTGCCATAAATAACACATTTTTATGAATAATTATATTTTCCAAAATATCCCATAGTAAAAAGAACAACAGTACTTTGACATTTTTGACAATCTTTTCTTAAATGTTTAGCTTAATAGAATACACATGAACTCTCACATCTGCTTTTGCATTTAGATGATTACAATAATTACTTTTTTAGTTAAACAGGCTTCAAACAGAAATGTTAAGATTAGGTGTTGTACATATCTTAAGATATCGTGGGGACAACACACTTGGAGAGCTGCTGGGCTGAAATATTTGCAGTTGTTAAAATCAAAGTTTGAAATATATAAAATGACATGATGGCACACTCTTATGTTTAAAAGCAATATTATTCCAATTTTGCAAAAAAACTGCATTTAAAACACATACAAATAGTGTTGTATGTTTCACAATTTTAAAATTTAAATATTTTGCAAAATTTGTAAAATGATACATATATTTTCTCCCTCTAAAATATCTATATTGTCTATTGTTGTAGAATTTAAATAAACCTCATTTATTTCTTTAAATGCTTCAACATAATTAAGGCAAAATGTACAAAGTCAGGCAGATATGATTCCCAAAATCAGGCTTTCAAATATATCCATCCATTCCCAATACTCTTTTCTACAAATTACTTCAGATACCAGGACTGACTCAGTAATAAATTTTTGTTGTACTGTCAATAATACTTTCTGAATAAAAAATCTTTTACTTAAAAAAATAAATAAGGCCCTCCCTGGTGGTGCTGCAGGTTAAAGCACAGCACAAAGTTCCATCCCCGACTGCATGTTCCATCCATCCACATGGCGAGGCAGACCTCGCCTGACCCACCCGCTGTTCCCCTTAGCAGTGAACTTCGTCGATCTGGCAGTTCTGCTCCCTGCTCTGTCTCTGGTGAATTCTTTCACGGCCCCTGCACATCTGGCCTGTACCCCAGTTCTGTATGCACAGATAAATAAATCTTAAAATAAATAAATAAATCAGGTGATTTGGTGATGGGATGCCCATGGGGATTACAACTGAGGTGAAAAAAGGCACAACATGATGTAAAAATAGACTATTATGTTTTTTTTTTTTTAAGATTTATTTATTTGTGCATACAGAACTGGGGTACAGGCCAGAGGCTCAGGGGCAGTGAGAGGCTTCACCAGAGACAGAGTGGGGAACAGAACAGGCAGATCGACGAAGTACACTGCTGAGGGGAGCAGCGGGCGGGTCAGGAGAGGTCTGCCACGTCATGTGGTCACCTCCAGGGCAGGCGGGAATCGAACTCATGAGGAAGCGGCTTTAGATTCTCAGTGCTGTGCTTTAACCCGCTGCGCCACCAGGGAGGGCCTATTATGTTATTTTTTAAAATAACAAATAAATAATTGATATCTGCCTTCAAAATATAGTAAAACAAAGTAACTCTTAAATGTTTACGACTTATCATAGCTATTCATAAAAGTTAAATATATAATTCCATTGAATTGTATTTAAAGTACTTTATAGCATAATCAAACTCATTTTGACAAGCTCAGGACTTTTAGGACAGACATTGAAGGAAATTAATGCATATTTATACTGGTTGGTGAAATCTCATGCCAAAAAACAAAACACAGAGCTGCAATAATCTGCCAAAAGTTTTCCACATGATTCACAAATTGTTTGTTACTTTAATTTAAACTGCTATGTTGCCAATGGACTTGAATATTAAAATAACAATTTCCCCTCAACAATGTAGTTCAGTAGATTTGCCTTGTCTGCTCCCTACTCTGTCTCTATTGAATCTTCTTACCGCCCTTAATATGTGGATGCATTTATGCTCTTGCATGGATAAATAAATAAATCCTTTTTAAAAAATAAGGGTGTATAAACAGGTAAACGGAAAAGCAAAATGTGATACATGCAACGGAATATTATTCAGCCATAAAATGGCAGGAAATTCTGCATTATGCTACAACACAAATGAATTTTGAGGAAGATGACAATAAAATACATTAGTCACAAAAAAATAAATGCAATATGGGGCTCTCCCTCATGACACAACGGGTTAAAGCACAGCACTTGAAACTATCCACAGCCACTGCACCACGAGTTTGACCTCTAACCAGGCAGGTAACCCACCTGGTGTGGCAGACCTCTTCTGTACTGCCTACTGCTCCCCACAACAGTGTATTTTTTGTTTGTTTAATATTATAATAGTTAATTTTTACATCATTTTGTGCATTTTTCCATCTCAGTTATAACCCCCTTTGGCTTCCCATCACCAAATCACCCATGTGCCATCACCACAGTCCAGTGCGTTTCCCTCCCCACCTTCACTGTTTTTGACCCCACTCCACCTCCATAAAATGTCTCAGGTATATAGCTGTTCATTATTACTATTATTTTCTTGCCTCCGTTATACTCCTGCTATAAGTGAAACCATCCGGTATTTTTCCTTTTCTTTCTGGCTTATTTCACTAAGCATGATTTTTCCAGCTCCATCCATGTTGCTGCAAAAGGCATGTGTTTATTTTTTTTGGTTGCCTAGTAATATTCCATTGTGTATATGTACCACATCATTTTAATCCAGTCATAACACTTTTGGGCATTTGGGCTACAAGTATATCTTAAACTGCTTGTTCTGCTCCCCATTCTGTCTCTGGTGAATCTTCTCATCCTTGCACCTCTGGCCTGTACCCCAGCTATTGTATGCACAAATAAATAAATCATTTTAAAATAAATATAATGTAATTACATTACATGAAAATAGTCAAATACATTAGTGCTAAAGAATAGTTGGGAGTAGTTCAGAATGTAGAGTTGTTTAGTGGGTATGGAGTTTCAGTTTTACAAGATGAAAAGTTTGTGGAAATGAATGATGATGATGATTACACAAATAATGAATGTATTTTACAACACTGAACTGTACACTTAAAAATGGTTAAGATGGAAAATGTTATGAGTACTTTATCATAATAAAAGGAAAAGAACCTGTAATATTATTAAAATGCTCAAATATGAAGCAAAAAAAATAATAGCTCCTTAAAATTAAAGACAATAATAATAATAGATAAATACCTTGCAGTTTTGTAGCAGTCGTATGAGATGTTCAAAGCAATTACTATTAAGAAAAATGGCCTGAAGAACAGGTCTATCTGTACAATCTAGCATAGCTGTGATGGTATCTAGAGAAATAAAAACAAAACCAGTCATTTATAAAGTAGAAAATTTGAAATCCCAGAAACATTTACTCTAACCATATTTTTATTAGACATTTCAGTAGAAAGATGTAAATTAGGAAATAATATGGATGGGGAGTAGAAAACAAAATTTGTACTTAACACTTGATAAGAAAGTAGAACATTTTTATACTTTAGTTATAAACATATTTGACTTTTTAAATTTAATATTGATATATATTTCCCAAGGGTTTCCAGTTCTTCTATTATAATGTCCAAGTATAATCAACTATGGTCCACAGTTATTATTAATAAGCAACAACTGGTTATGTTTGGCTACACAGTCTCATTTAGATAGTATGAAATTAACAGATGGCCATTATAAAAATGTGATGCCTAGTCACAGATTACAACTGCAAATGGTCCTAAAATTAAATTTTCAAAACCATAACTGACTTTAAACATTGATGCTCTTAGTGCATTATTTTCAAGAAGGAACATACTCAATTTTATTATCATGAAAGCAAAGATAGTGCAGAAAAAATTCCACATTAATTATTTTAATACCTGAGTTAAACCATCAATACTTTCTATATTATGGCCTTGTATTTTGAATGAAAGTGGGGAGGGTCTCCCTGATGGCACAAGAGTTTAAGCTATCCACAGCCACTGCAGCAAGAGTTCAATACTTGGCAAGGGAGTTAACCCACATGGCACAGCAGACCTCTTAGGTCTTGCCCATGGCACAGTAAAACTTTCCTGTCTCACCCAACTCTTCCCCTCATCAGTATATTTTAGTAGCTCTGCCTGTTCTGCTCCCCACACTCTCGGGTGAATCCTCTCATCCCGATACCTCTGGGCTGTAGCTCAGTTCTTGTATGCATAAATAAGCAAATCTCAAAAAAAGTGGGGAAATATAAAGTCCCCCCCCCCCCAAAAAAAAAGGAACTCAGAGAAGACTAAGTACAACAAACTTACTCAGCATCTTGATCTGTAGGGCTATGAATCGGTTTTCCCACTGTCTGGACCTCCTTTGATTAGGCAAAGCTGAATGATCTGAATTCAGCAATTTAAAATAGTTCTCCAGAATTGTGCTGGTTTCTACTTGACGTTGGTCAGAGCTACTCGTTAGAAGGATATGTACTACTTCTGTAAGGCACTTCAGAGTAAGTTCTACCTTCCTTCCCACTTCTTCAAGATTCCCATCTTCCCAGGAGTCACAATCTGCCAGAACTCTCATAAGAACTTCCATGGTGGCTGGAGAAATCGCTTGCAAAGCATTCCTCTGAAATATGAGAGATAGTAAAAGTGAAATTCAAATCTAAATGAAATTCTACATGTTTAAAAAAATAAAGAGAATTAAATTTCCAGGCAACTCTTTCTTTTAGTATATCAATATAATTTGTTTTAATATACTTTGACCAATACTATTAGAATTTTACATCAGATAAGTCTGCATTTCTTCACTACTGATAGATTCTGATTTTATTCAGGTAGCAATCTGCCCACATAGAAAACACTTCATCCACCCTCCCTTGCACAGAGGAGAATATGATATAATTCTGGTCAAGGATATGTGGCAGTGGATAATGAAGGGGATATCATTTTTCAAATAAAAAGGGAAGGACATTTGGTATTTGGCCCTGTCAACTGTTTTCCTGTCTGGAATACAGACGTGAGGCTTGAAGCCATCTTTATGTCATGAGGAAACAAGTGCAAAAATTTAAGTAGGCTACAAAAAGCAGAACATGAATACCGAAGAACTTTAGCCCTTAATGGTATAACTGATTTGCTTTATCAGGGCAGAATTACCTACATCTATACAAGAATTTAAAAAACAACCTCAATTTGAGTAAGTCTCTTTCAGATTTTCTGTTGGTTACACAAATCCATTCCAAATGATATGATAAATAAAAGAGGACTGGCTTGGTTTTGGTTCTACAAACAAATCTCTGAAATTTCATAAATTATGTAATTAGTAACCTTTTGAGAAAACCCATTAGACTTAGAAATAAAAAATTTATCTAAAATGTTAAATTAATATCTAGTAAACAGAACCTAGTCCTTTTTTTTTTAAGATTTTATTTATTTGTGCATAAAGAACTGGGGTACAGGCCAGAGACTCAGGGGTGGCGAAAGACTTCACCAGAGACAGAGTGGGGAGCAGAACAGACAGATTAACGAAGTACACTGCTGAGGGGAGCAGCGGGTGGGTCAGGAGAGGTCTGCCGCGCCATGTGGTCACCTCCGGGGCAGGCGGGGATCGAACTCATGCGAAAGTGGTTTCAGCTTCTTAGTGCAGTGCTTTAATCCGCTGCGCCACCAGGGAGGGCCAGAACCTAGTCCTTTTTAATTTTATTTTATAAATTTGTTTTTACATTATTCTTCATTTTGTACATTTTTCATCTCAGTTGTAACCCCCATGGACTTCCTACCACCATTTCACCCATGTGCTATCATCACAGTCCCATATGCTCTTCCCACCCCAGTTTTGATCTTATTCCTCTCTTCTCTGGTTTATAGATGTTAGTTGATGTTCTTTTTTACAATTACTATATATATATATATATATATATTTCACCACCCCCCCTTGATCCCTTACACTCCTGCTATGAGTGAAACCATCTGGTATTTTTCTTTTTCTTTTTGGCTTATTTCACTATTTTACTGAACTAGTTTATTAGTCTGGTTTTTCTGCAGAGTTTTTGGGATTCTCTATGTATATTATCATGTCATCTGCAGTTATAGTTTTACTTCTTTCCCTATCTGGATTCCTTTTTAAACAGTTCTACAAAATCATCTAAAATTAGTAGCACTTAGTTCATTAGGATTTATTACTTTCAATGTAACATCAATAACAATGTTACTATGACAGAAATTGATGACAACCCAGCCAACTTCCATTTTCTTCCATTTCTTTATTAATAGAAACTGTAAAGTTCTATGGACACAACATCAGAAATAACGCTTACATTTCCCAATCTTTCCTTTTCTAAGGAAGCTAAGGAAGCAAGTTTTATCAAGAAATATTTGTCTTCACTGTAGTTATCTGGAGTTTGGAAAATTATACTTAAAAACTGGGCACATGCCAACTGCCTCCTTCTTCCTAACCCTGTGTGTCTGTGTGCCCCAAATGCAGACAAAATGCCTGTATTCTAGAAATTATCTTGTAACAAAAGAAATAAATGTAACAAAAAAATGAACTTACAACTTAGGCTGTTATGTTAGTATTTAGTTACTGCTACTAAGGAATCAAAACTCTGCTATACCTATAATTTACTCAGTTCTTACAAGCACAAGAATTCAAGTACTTTACATAAATTATGTATCAATTGGCCTTTACAACCACCCTGTAAGCGCTACTATTTCCATATAACAAAGAAATACACACATGTATGTGTGTATGTACGTATGTATGTATATGTATATATAGATATATACACATATATATGGTTTATCCAAGGTCAAACAATTAGCTAGAGATGGACATGAGATTCAAACCTATGTCAGTGTGGCTTAAAGATCTAGCTCTTAAAATAAGCAAAACAGAACAATGGCAATGTGAAACCCAAGCATGATGCTTTGGAAAAGGAAACTAGGCCCTGGACTTCAGTTTTGTTTTTGTTTTTGTTTTTCTAATTGTCAATTTTTTTTTTAAGATTTATTCAGACAGAACTGGGGTACAGGCCAGAGATCCAGAGGGTGAGAGGACTCACCAGAGACACAGCGGGGTGCAGAACAAGCAGATCGACTAAGTACACTGCTGAGGGGAGCAGCGGGCGGGTCGAGAGAGGTCTGCCGCACCATGTGGTCACCTCCAGGGCAGGCGGGGGATCGAACTCATGTGGAAGTGGCCTTAGCTTCCCAGTGCTGTGCTTTAACCACTACGCCACCAGGGAGGGCCTGGACTTCAGTTTTATGCTATTTATGACATGACATTTCTTATACATTTTGATATTCAATTGATTTAAATACCCTTGTACTAATGCTATATTCAGCAAACAACCCTCTTATTTCAGTAAAGATCTAATTATAGCCATGATCTGATTACAGGATCCTGAGTATTTCCAGTATATAACATAATATATTGACTTTTTAGAACTTACTTGATTTTCATGTCAATTTTAATTATGAGCAGTCTCTCAGGGTTTGATTACCCCTACACACTAACAATAGTAAGTTTCTATGCCCAAAAAAGGAGTAGTCAAAATTAATGTCATTTTCAATTTTATTCATGCATACTCATTAATTCTTACTCTTAGTAGTAAAGAAATTATCAAAATGACAAGATACTGAAACATAAGGGTATTGGCTAATATCCAATGATCATGATCCAATGATCATATGATCGTGATCAAGTAGCATATGATTGTAATAAAGCAAACAATGAAAAGTAAGATTCTGAACACTGTTCCTCTCACTAAAAAGAGATTTCTATTTTCTACTAGGATGAAGAGAAGGTGGCAAGCTAGCCACTAAGAACCCATATATTATTATTAATACCTGGTATTTTCTTACCACTAGATATTAGATACATTTTCATGTTTCAGTGTCCTGAAAACATTTACACTCATCTCTGCTTTGAAATTTCACTAGTTGCTAAATGTGCTACTATTATCTTTTGTTTTCAAATAGTATAAAAGTTTATTTTTACAACATTTTGTGCATTTTTCCATCTCAGTTGTAATCCCTGTGGGCTTCCCATCACCAAATCACCCATGTGCCATCACCACCATAGTCCAGTGCATTTCCCTTCCCCTACTGTTTTTGATCCCATTCCCCACTCCACCCCCATAAAATGTCTCAGGTATATAGCTGTTCATTATTATTATTATTTTCTCGCCTAATCCATCATACTCCTGCTATAAGTGAAACTATCCGGTATTTTCCCTTTTCTTTCTGGCTTATTTCATTAAGCATGATCTTTTCCAGCTCCATCCATGTTGCTGCAAAAGGTATGTGTTTATTTTTTTTGGTTGCTGAGTAATATTCAATTGTGTATATGTACCACATCTTTCTAATCCAGTCATCCACTTTTGGGCATTTGGGCATGTCTTTCCTATTGTAAATAAAGCAACAATAAACATGGGGGTGCAGGTGTCTTTTTAAATCAGAGTTTTTGTGTCTTTTGGGTAGATATCTAGGAGTGGGATTGCTGGGTCATATGAAGCTCCATGTTTAGCAGTTTGAGGAACCTCCAAGCAGTTAACCATAGTGTGTGTACTGGTTTGCATTCCCACCAGCATAAATGTGCTACTATATCTTTTTAATGCTTTATAAGAAGCATGGTTAATACGTTACAGATTTGTCTCATTTTTTAGCAACTTCAGAATTAGTATAATTAGTTTCCTTTGATCTTAAGTGTTTTATTTTAGGCGCTAACAACATACTAACAAAAGTTTTTGAACAAAATGCCAAAGAAGAATACAATTCAAATAGGTTACAAATTTAGAATATTCTCTGTGAATTATAGTCCTGTTTGCAGCAAATAGTTATTTGTTTACCACAGACAGCTATTTATGATACTTGACTTAAAAACATTAGAATTTCTCATAAAAAAAAAAACTAGTTGGATTTGTGTTAAAATGCATATGTTAATGAATTTATTATGAACAGATGAGTGACCAAATTTATGTCTTAGGAAATCAAACTGACAGTTTAAGTATTCAGTAGACCAATAGAGAACACTATCCTCTATGAAGAATAGTAGCCAAAAGTCAACACAATAAAGAACTTAAAATACCCAAATTTGCTAAATCTGGTTATTTATGCAGTAATTTTATTGTAGGTGCTACTATTATTACTTAGATTATTTGATGGTTAATAAAAAAGATAAGCAAAATATAACTGAAACAAAACTTGATGGTTCATAAAGTCAAAAAAATACAAAGAATACATTAAATAATTCATGGAAAGCTTTCACACTTAACTATTGTTTATATATTAACTTTGAACACTTTTCCTCACCTGTCCACCAGCTACAATGGCTCCAAAGAGATGCAATAAGCAACACTTAAGACTTTCCTTAAGATGTTCACTTTCCTGAAAACATTCTGTAAATACACAATAAACAAATAAATAAGTCATGCTTTCATAGTATGACTTATCTAAGAAATGCCTGACAATGAAACACAGATTAGTATTAGTATAAAGGCTAAAATGCACTAAGAAACAAGGTTTACAGGCACTTTGTCATAGGAATGGAAAAAAGAAAATCTATTGGAGAGTATTTTAGATACTTCATATGACTTAATTTCATCATGTTCCATATTGCTCCCACTTAAATATGGGCAAATGGGAGGTCACAATTTATAATCTTGCGTGAAGTCAAATGACTATCAAGTGACAGAGGTAGAAAATTAACCAAAACTGACAAAAAAAATTTCTTTTAAGATTTATTTATTTATGCATACAGAACTGGGGTTACAGACCAGAGGTGCAGGGGCAGTGAGAGGATTCACCAGAGAGAGTGGGGAGCAGAACTGGCAGATCGACGAAGTACACTGCTGAGGGGAGCAGCGGGTGGGTCAGGAGAGGTCCACCACAGCACGAGGAATCACCTCCAGGACAGATGGGAATCAAACTCAAAGTGGATTTAGCTTCTTAGTGCTGTGCTTTGACCAGCTGCGCCACCAGGGAGGGCCCCCAAAATTTTTCTTTTAATGACTACAGCTGCCTCTTATTGGTATAATTACTATAATTATTCAATTACAAAGTTGAATAAGACAAAAAGATTTCCTGGGTCTACTGAGGGCAATTATTCTAAAGTTTTGGTCTTAGTAATAATATTTCTGTTAGCATTATGAATATTTTATTATTTGTAAAAGGTTATGCACATATGTGACACAGAACAAATAAAGCAGCAAAAAAGAACTGATGATAAAGCCTTTCTCTAACATTTCCTTCCATCCATCTTTCTCCCTACGCTTAGAAAACACTATACTACTGTATCATGCAGTTTTATTTTTAATTTAATAAACCCTGGGGCTTATAACATCTTTACATATATAACACCTTGTTCATTTCTTATGCTGGAGAGTATATCATTATAATGATGTAGCATAATTTACTTAATAAGTTATCTGCTTATACACTTTTATGCTTTTCCCCTTCCTTTTGATACTGTTAATAAGCTAGTACTGAATATCCTTTTGTATACATCAGTATACACATAGTATAGCCATTAATTATTTCAATTTTACACATAACGAGCATTACCAAAAACAAACAGCATAAAAGTAAAATACTCTGATAGTAATTTACAATTAAAAATTTGGTCATTCTACCTCTTCTGTAATAATTGTAACTGTATATGGCTTCATGCTATATGTAACTAGAAAACTGGACAAAATAGGTTCTAGAAATTTAGTTACAGAACTGTAATACACAAGAGAATGAAAGTGAGTCCAAGAATCACCTCAACTTCCTGTTTAAAGACATTTTCTGGGGCCCTCCCTGGTGGCGCAGAGGGTTAAAGCACAGCACCAGGAAGCTAAAGCCACTTCAGCATGAGTTCGATTCCCTCCCGGAGGTGATCCACATACATTGCTGGGCAGACCTCTCCTGACCCACCTACTGCTCTGAGGTGATCCACATTGCTGGGCAGACCTCTCCTGACCCACCCACTGCTCGCCTCAGCAGTGTACTTCCTCAGTCTGCTTGTTCTGCTCCCCACTCTGTCTCTGGTGAATCCTCTCACCCCTCTGCACCTCTGGCCTGTATCCCAGATCTGTATGCATAAATAAATAAAATCTTAGGAAAAAAAAAAACCTTACATTGGAAAGAAAATATTAGATCAAAACACATAATTGACTTAATGCTAAACTAGTGAAAGAAAACAATTCTATGACTTCAAAGTAAGCATAATTTCTTTGATAAGGCACAAAAAAACATAGATCAAGAAAAATGTTTAAATGTTTAAAATTTTTTAATTTAAAAATTAAAATCACAGTCTTAAGTACCCATTAATTAAATGAAAAGGCAAAGTGAATATGATAAAATACTCTCAAATCATCAAGTCTGGGAAATTTTTAGCACCAAAAAGGTAGTGTAGATAACTGAATATAAAATACTGAGTAAGTAAGATATCAGGTATTCAGTGACTAACAAAAAAGAGAAAAGTAAGACTTACTTCCCAGCATGACTTTTATATGAACTCATTTGAAAACACAGTGAAAGGGAAAAACTTAAGCACTTTATCCAGCCATTTTTAGGGGATAGTTTAATCCAGTTGATGAGGGAAAATCTTTTTTTCCAGAATATAAAGCTGGTAAACTTCAAAGGATGACAAAATTAGAAAACCAAATTTTGCAGCCCTCAATGAAATAACTGATTCAGGCAAGGATCATCAACAGATAATAAAACTCCAGATGAAAAGATGTTGGAAAACAACTATTCATGCTTTCCCAAAGTATCATTTGAAGGGTAACATACAAAATTGCAAAAGAAAAAAGAGCTTTATAAATTAATGATTTCACTCACTATCACTATTGTGAGTAATGATCAACAAAATCTTTTTTCCTTTTCTACAGAAAAATGGACCAAGAGTTACATCATTGGAAATTTGACAAATGTGAAGAATCAAGAGGACAAATGTGCTAATAAGCAACACTGTTTATGGTAAAAATGGCTCTTGATACTGACTAGGACGACTATGAATGACTATAAATACCTGAATGGGAACTGGCAACCTTGGTCTTCCCTAATTGCAGTGTAACTTGTAATGTAGGCATTTCCCTTCTCAAGAAAGCACAATGGCTTTTATGGGGTATTACACTTGTAAATCAGGGTAGCTTGCGGATCCACCAATTTGGTCTTATACCCAACTTGGAGTACCCAAGGATGGCCCTTGCTTGGAATGTTGTGAAAAATACTGTTAAACAGAAACAAAAAAATTCACACTGATCTGGTGGAATGATGGGGTTTCAGCCCTATATCATCTAAGTGAGGCCAGTTTCAGACATAGCCTATTGTGGACATGTGTTGTTTGATTATCTAGTTGAATATTGTAAAGTTAATATTGTCAAACAGAATGATGACTGCAATTATCATCAACCAGTAATCAAAGGACATTTCAGTACTGTTTTATTTCTTTGGGGGGAAAAAATGGAGACAAATATGGGGCAATCACAAAACATTGCAATCTGACAAATTTGGCAGAAAAAAAATATTGTTCCTTTTATATTCTACAAGATTTTCAGTCTACTTGAAATGTGGCACACTTTTTTTTCACGAAAGAAAATGGGAGTGTATATATAGAGATTATACATACAGTGTGCCAAATGTTTATTTTCAATCAAAGTTTTTGAAGGTCTTAAATATACTGCTGTCATTAAATATTCACCTCTTCAGGGCCCTCCCAGGTGGAGCAACATGTTAAAGCGAAGCACTGTGAAGCTTGGTGCATCCGCGTCAGCAATGAGTTCAATCCCCGGCCAGGGAGGTGACCCACATGGCGTAGCAGATCTCTCCTGACCCACCCGCTGGCTCCCGTCAGCAGTGTATTTGTCCATCTGCCTATTCTGTTCTCCCACTCCACCTCTGGTGAATCTTCTCACCGCCCCTACACCTCTAGCCTGTACCCGAGTTCTGTATACATAAATCTTTTTTAAAAATATATATTCACCTCTTCTCAAAAATAAAACACTTAGAGAAGACTGTTTATATTAAATAAAACCAGGTAAAATAATCTCAACAAAATGCAAATCAAGTATTCCAATGACAGATTCTCAGAATTTTTATCTGCTAAATACACAGCGCTGAATAAAGATCAGAACCAGAATCAGAATAAAGAATCACAATAACATCAACGTAAAAAAAAAGAGAGATTAGAGCTATTACTTACGATAAAAGAAAGGGACAAATTCCACTGTGAGAGAAGCTGGTTTATATTTCTGTCTGCTCCTTTCCACAGTACTAAGGATTCGCCTGACATTAAAAAGAAATTAGTAATAAATTATAACATGGGCAAGTACAGGTACCACAATTACAAAAGCAATTATAAGATAAAGGTAATACTTTACTTTTGATTTGTGTATTGAATAACACATCTCTGGAATCAGTATAATTTTGAAAAGGAAGTCTAGTCAAAAACTTAAATGCTCCTCAATGGAACAACCTCTTGAAATGAGCAAAAAATTTAATTGTTTAGTGGTGAAACATAGCACCCAGGTTAAGTCTCAAAAATCAATTGGAGGTTGAAAAAGGAAATAATCATTAGAAATTCTTAAAATTCTTTCTGTGAAAGAACTTGTTCAGCAGCATTGTAAATTTGACACCTAAATGCATGAGAAATTCATCAGACATCAGGTTGTTAAAAACAGACCCAAAATAGGATTTATCATAAATCCTATATAACCAAAACAAGAGTTAATTATAATTTCAGTCTCTCCCAAAAACAGACTCCTAAACCATACAATCAGGAATTACCTGGTCAGCACTGGTAAGGTAATCTTTCCTGACCCTTAAAGGAAAGTGCTCTTGCCTCAACCAATCTACCCTTTACCAGTGTAGTTACAATGTTCCTGCTCCCTTCTGCTGACAAAAGTATTTCATTTTGTACATTTCCGTGTAGCTCCTTTCTTTCTGCTAGATGGGGTGTTGCCTAATTCATGAATTATTGAAGACAAATATCTTTAAAATACACTCTGTTGATTTTTGTTTTATAGCAAAGACAGATTTATTTTTTTAAATGGCATTTAAATACAATTAATTACTAATATAATTCTAATATAGTTCTCTACATCAGAGATGGAGATAGAGATCTTATTCATATCTTAGCAATTGCTTTCATAAAATTAAGTTTACTTTCAAGAAATGCATTCATAATGAAATTCAGACTTTAAATGAAGGTCACGATTTGTTACACATACCCTGAAATTCTATGCCTCCAATTCCTATAAGGATCATACAAACTTTCACAAAATGCCAATGCATGGATCACAAATTCTTCAATAGATGTCTGATCTGCCAATTCCTTCTCCTTTTTTTTGCTTTTTAACTGAAAATAGAGTTAAATTTAAGATTATATTTACTTAAAAACATGAAATTGTATAATACCCTTATCCATATCATTAAAAGACTACATGGTTGATTCATCACATAATAATAATTTTTACTCAAACAAGCCTACAATTCATTTGAGCCAGAGTTAATTATATGAACTAGATATAACCCTTCAAATTTTATTTTATTTTTTTAAAAGATTTATTATTTATGCATATAGAACTGGGGTACAAGTCAGTGGTACGGGGGTGTAAGAGGATTCACCAGAGACAGAGTGGGGGGCAGGACAGGCAGATCGACAAAGTACACTGCTGAGGGGAGCAGCAAGTGGGTCAGGTGAGGTCTGCCAGTCATGTGGGTGAATCACCTCTAGGACCAGGGATCGAACTCGCATTGAAGCAGCAGTGGCCAGCTTTGCAGTGCTGCATCCTAACCGTTGAGCCACCAGGGAGGGCCACATCCCCTCAAATTTTAAATATGTCCTAGGCGGCAGGGCTTCCAATAGATAACCAAGTATCTTTCCAATGAATATTGTTTTAAATCATAAAGCACTTTAATTTAAAAAGCAAAATTTAAAAAGTAAAGTAACAACAACAGATATTAGTAATTGCTTATGTATTTTTGGAAAATATGTATAAGATTCTTATACAATATCCAATGGTCGTCTAAATTCTCATCCTATTGTTGAAAACATTTAACTTATTAACTATATCATTATATAAAAAAAAAACCTAGTTACAACTAGCAAAGCAACAAAATGGATGTATCAATTCACACCTACTTGTTGTATATAGAGTGTAGTCATAGTGATGACATGATTAATGTATGAGCAAGTCCCAATTTCTTCCACATTAGATAAATTTCTGTGTAAAACACAACATTCATATATTTGTTACATTTGAATAATGAGAAAAATGTATGTTTCAAAGTATTCGGGTGAATTCTGAAAACACATTGGTAAACAAAATACAAACAATATTAAAACAAAGTCAGTATTTCCAACCAAGAATATGAAACATACTTCCAGTACCATATAACTACTGTCAGAATCCTTCATATTTACTTATTGAAGAAAAAATAGAAAATACCAAAGTAAAAACTAAAAAAAGAATCACAAACATCCTTTAAACCCAAACTATATAACTCTGAATTACTCTTTTTTAGGTTAGTTTCTATTTTCCTATCCACGTTTTGATATTTCCTATTTTCTTAGTTTGTTTTTTGTTCATATTATTGCCATTGTAACACTTGCGTGCTTTTACTATTTTCACTTTGCTTTCTAAAATTAGCCTTATCATAAGGGGCAACATCTGTACTAACTACAAGGGAGCATATTATATGTCTTGCTTGAAAGTGTGGGTAAGTTCTTGATGTTCAAGTAAAATATGAACCTCAATTTCATTTCACTCTTAAAAGACTGAAATAAAATGCTACCCATTCTTATATCTAACATCACCAGTCTTGTTTTTGGCATAAAAAAAAAAAGACTTAATTCTTCCTATTCTGTGACCTTGGAAAATACTTCACATATCAAAATTCAGTAAATGCTAAAACTACAGGGAAAATTTACTGAATTTAACAGACATCTTAATAAATATAGTCCAGCAGGTGTGACATATTTGAGGGGGAAAAAAAGTAAGGGAGAACAATTTTGGAAGAAAGAGCACAGATTAGTGAGGGTAAATTCCATTTGTGGGAGAAAACATGAGCACAGGTAACATACTAAGCTTTGATTTTTAGCAAAATTTAGCAGATTTTTAGCCTCAGCTTTATGAGCAACCCTGCACTGTGTTGTTATATTTCTCTTTCTCTGTGTTAAAGATCACACCCTCCTTCCTGTGCTTATGCAATTTCTTCTTGAAATAAGCATCTTTGAGATCTAGGAGTTTTCAGAACCAGTATCAGCTTGTGGAGATGGCAATTACAAAATTCTGTTTAACCTATATAGAATAACCTGAGTGGAAGGAAGGTCCAGTCTCAAGTAAGAAATCACTGTTCAGATGGATCAGGAAAATCATCCTCCTTCCTCTGTGGCATCCAGTGAGAATGATCAGACTGGTCCCAGGAACGATGCTAGTTTGTATTTTTACTTGTGCTGAGTAAGTGATTTGTGGTGGCTAAATAGCCTTCGAGGCATATCTGCAGTAGGGTGTTATCTAGGAGTTTTGTGAAGTTTAGCCACTTGGGCGTTTGCATTTGTCATCACTGGCTGCTTCTGTGACAACAGCAAGAACTTCCTTTTTCTTTTCAATTCTGAACTTAACTGATGTACACTCCCGCTTATACATGGCCTTTCAGGAATACATAGCAGATCGTAAATATATGCCCACTCCTCTGACTAGGACAGGTTTAGCTGCAGTGATAACCCCTTCTTAGGCATCTTAGCCTTGGAAATACCCTTTTTAATCGTGCCACAATTGTCAGCTTTCTTAGTTTAAGGTTTCTTCTGGCAAATAGATGGTTTCTTAGCTTTTCCATCCAACATCTTTGCATGATGGGATAGAATGGTTCTTCATTTTCTGAGACCTTAAGTTGTACAACAAGGCTGTTGATTTGACAGTTTTCATTAATGTAAATTTATACCTATAAATTTTCTCTTCCGCAAAACTTTTGCAGTTCCTATTAAGTTTTGGTAAGTTGTTTTTTCCTCTTTATTCACCTCTAAGTATTTTCTAATTTTCCCTGTGATCTCTTTTTTAAATCTGTTGGGTGTTTAAAAATATCTTAATTAGTTTCCACAATTTTCTAAATTTTCCATTCTGATTTCAGATGCCAATTTGATGAATCAAGCAAGGCTCAAAAGTCCTCAGAGTAAGAGAACTTACTACAGTGCTAATAAAGGAAGCAAACAGACATGAGCTAGCATGCACTATCAAGTCACAAAAAAGACAAGGAGGAACTTTGAACACATATTGTTAAGTGAGAGTCCAAACTGAAAGCAGTAGATACCACATGATTTTTTTTTTAATATTTATTTATTTTGTAGAAGAACTGGGTGGGGGCCAAAGGTGCAGGGGGTGGGAAGTTCACCGGGGAGAGAGTGGAAAGTAAAAGAGGAGAACTTATTGAGATATACATCTAAAGGGAGCAGTGGAAGAGACAGAAGAGGCCTGCTGCGCCATATGTAGTTAGTGCCCTGGCCAGGGTACTAACTCAGGTTGTAGCAGTGATAGCACTGAGACTGGACCTGTAGGTCACTAGGGAGGCCCATACACATGATTTTAAAAAGATGGCCTGGAAAACACAAAACTGTAACTATAAAAAAAAATCAGTAGTTATCAGCAGTTGGGGTATGAGGTGGGGTAATAAATAGAGCACAGGGCATTTTGAGAATGGTAAAACTAATCTGTAGGATACTATAATAGTGGCTATATGATAGTAAATGCTTACAGATGAGAACCATATAGAAAAACATTAGTGCAATTTTTCTTGCTTAGGTGAAAAAAACTGTTATTATATTTAATACAGTAACAAACTACAAATCTACTGGAAAAAATGCACCCATTTTTTTTTTAAAGATTTATTTATTTATGCATACAGATCTGGGGCACAGGCCAAAGGCACAGGTGTGGTGAGAGATTCACCAGAGTGGGGAGCAGAACAGGCAGATCAACAAAGTACACTGCTGAGGGGCGCAGCAGGCGGGTCAGGAGAGGTCTGCTGCACCATGTGGATCACCTCCGGGTTAGGGATTGAACTCATGCGGAAGTGGCTTTAGCTTGTTAGTGCTGTGCTTTAAACAACTGCGCCATCACGGAGGGCCCAAAATGCAGTAACTTTTTAAAGCTCCATATAAACAACAAATACCATTGATAAATGATTATTAGATAAATAAATAAATCATTAATAAATGATTATTATTTAAAACAGGTAACTAGTTTGTTTATAGCACATACCTGCAAAGAATAATGAAGAACTTGACTAGTAAAACTGACAAGGCTTGTTGTTGTTCCTCTAAACCATCTGCCATTTTCTGAACACATTGCAGCAGCTGGATCCTAAGAACCTGCAGAATATTATCAGGAAGCAAAGATATTCCTGGAGGCACATCATCTACCCTAAAGTACAAGAAGAAAATAAATACAGTGGGTGTTTAAATATAGGGAAAAAATCTTTGGCATTTTAAAAGGAAATGTATTTTCAGCTCAAATCCTAAATCTCTTCTAACCTAGGAACTGTACCTCTTTCTCTATAAGGCACCACCAATGACTAGTGACACTTTAGATCATTATAACTGCAGAATGATCATTTTACATCAGAGGAGGCTTACTGAAAAGAGAAGCTATTTAATACCACAAACACAAGGAATCTGTTCCACTCCTGTGGTTGGCTATTGAATGCCTACTATAAACAGTTGACAGCTGTACTGTCCATCTAACACAAAACAAATTCCAGCTTAAATGTCAAAGCTCTAGTTCTAGTAAAAGCAACCCTTGCCTTTCTTTTTATTTTTTAATTTATTTATGCATATAAGAACTGGGGTAAAGGCAAGATGTGAAGGTGAGAGCACTCACCAGAGAAAGAGTGGGGAACAGAACAGGCAGATTGACAAAGTACACTGCTAGGGGAAACAGTGGGCAGGTCAGGAGAGACCAGCCCCGCCATGTGTCACCTCCCTGGCTGGGGACCAAACTCATATTGAAGCATCTGCAACCAAGTTAACAGTGCTGTACTTTAACCCACTGCACCACCAAGGAGGGCTCAATCCTTGCCTTTCATTATGAATTCTCTAACTTGGAAATTCTGTAAGATCAGCTTATTTTATTTCTTTTAAATATTTATTTTTATTTATTTAAGCATACAAGAACTGGAGTGTATGGCCAGAGGTGCAGAGGATGAGAGGGTTCACCAGAGACAAAGTGAGGAGCAGAACAGGCAAAGTGACTAAAATATACTGCTGGGGTGAGCAGGGGTGAGACAGGAGAGGTCTGCTAGATAGGTCTGCTCCCTGGCCAGGATTGATAGTGGCTGGCCATAGCTGAGTGACTTTAACTCTTCCATCACCAGGTAGGCCCCAAAATCAGCTTCTTTAAATTGAGGATTATACATGAGTTTCTTATCCTTAAAATGCCAAATTTTATGCATCTTGCAATAATGTTTGAAAATTTTAAATTTTCTACTAGTAAAATTTAAGTTCATGGTTCAATTCTCTGAAAAATATGTGAAACGATTTTAATTTTAAATGAGTCAACTAAATCATTAGAATGCATTCCTCGTTCTCTTCATCTCATTCATTCATAGCACTTTTCATCTTTTACTATGGTTGCACAGAAGTCAGTATAAGGTATCTAGAAATTACATCCCAGGAAAGGATACATTTATAATGTATGGATAACTGTGTATCACAAACTATTCATTCCAATATTCCAAATATTGAGAACCAAATTCTCACTCCATAAAATTCTTAGGCTCAAGATATGAGCTGTAAATTATTAAAATAAAAGCATTTCCTAGCACAGACAACAAGAATACTCTTATATGAGTACAAATCAACAATACATAACCCTATTTTTGAGTTCAAGATTTATTATTTTTGAACATTTACACACTTGTTACAAATATTCTGAGAAAAAGCAGATACTCTATTTATAAATAAAGAAATACTAGTGCTTTCTTTCACCCAGTCATTTCATTTGCATAAAATGAAGTTTATCTTGAGTATATCACAGGCATACAAATTGAACCACAATCCTTTCTTAAGTTCAATACCTGGTCCCAAGTTCTAATGATTCCTTCTCCACTTTCAATCTCAACCCTTTTCAATCCAACCTCCATATCAAAGAAGCTTTTTAAAAAATCATGATCACAATATTCTCACATAGAAAACCTTTTAGTAAAGTCCTGTATAGCTCATAACAAAAAAATCAAAGTCTATTAGCAATTCATGCATGGCACTTCCCTATCAAGCTCCTGTTTTCTTTTTTTAAAGATTTATTTTTGCATACAGAATTGGGGTACAGGTAAGAGGTACAGGGGTGGTAAGAGGATTCACCAGAGACAAAGTGGGGAACAGAACAGTCAGATTTTTAAAATACAATGCTGAAGGGAGCAGCATTGTATTTTAAGACAGGAGAGGTCTGCTGCACCATGTGGGTCACCTCCCTGGCCGGGATTGAACTCATACAGCAGTGGCTGTGGATAGCTTCATAGTGCTGCGCTTCAGGGCTCCTATTTGATTCTCCAGATTCAATTCCCCTAAGTGTGTATCCTCTGCCTAACCATCCTTTCCCAAATTGTAAACAATGTCCTTGCAAATTTTTAATATTCCAGACATTCTTTCTCATCATCACCACCACCCATTTTTCCCTTCTCCTCCAATATATATCTATAAATTGAGCTCTTTTTGCAGGTCAAATCAATCCTTTTTCTCCAACCAACTTTCCCTCTGTTAGCTAATAAATACTAGGCCTTCAAGATGGTTTGAGATTCAACAAAACTTTTATCAGGGTAGTGAGTATGGGGACTGGCAGTGGGAAAATGTCATTAAGCAAAGGAATATTTTCACTTGTACTTTTCCATTAAGAATTTTTCTCCCATTTTATGTCTAGTTTTTTAAGTCTAGCTTTTAAATTTCTAAATACTTAGCCTCCTACAAGAGGTTTCCTAAGGCCAAGAAAGAAGCTTCAATTTGTATGCCTGTGATATAATAAAGAAATTTTATGTAAATGAAGTAACTCTGGGTGAGTCCTTTGCTAGTTTCAGAAGAACTGCCTACTTGGGAAAGACCTACTCTTACCTTTCTAGAAGGGGAATTTGGCTTGACTAAGCTCAAACACAGAATCAGTAAAATTAGACTCAAAACTCTGGATGTCTAAAGCTCACAGAAGTTCTTTATTTGAACACAATGTTGTACAGGGAGGGCTAGAGAAACAGTATGGAGGTCCTACATCCACAATTTTCCCAGGTACTATCCTAGGTATATGCCTTATAAAAGAATAATAGCAAGTATAATGCTTTCAGTGCACATCATTTCAACAAATTTAGTGAACTGAAGCAAGTTGTGAGAACTTCCAAATAATAATCAGTTGGTCAATGTGGGTGACTCCAAAGACTTGAACTGGGATCTGAAGTGGTAGTCTTGCTGAAGACTTTGCCATTAACTTGTGGGATCTGGCTGTAGCTGTGGGTAATGTCAGAACTGCAGCAAACTACATGGTTCTTCATAATAAAGAAGGGATTTTGGAAGCCATGTGCAGCATCAGCAGAAAAGACTATTGTGACTAATTAGCAATGCCTGCCACAAGAACAGTTATACATGTGTCACATAATGGCCATTGTATCAAATCAGTGACATCTTTGTGACAAAAAAAATAACAAATTTACCCAAGAGTAGAATTACTACATACCTTGTAGGCAATTTTTCAAAGTCAACATCTAAGAATTGTTCATAGCTAGAAACAAAATTGTCCAACCACAGCTTCAGGTAATCTGGATCTTTCTGAAATAAGAAAATCAGTATAATATTAAGTGTACCTACCAAGAAAAATAAAGAGATACGAAGTGAGAAATCTAAAGAATATTAAATGTCCATTAATATATACTCTCTATATATAAAACATATGCATATATACAAAGTGCTGTTTTAAAATGTGCATCAAGGGTAGTAAATCCTCAAATAGCTTGTCATGATGCTCACACAAAGACCTACCATCTTCTTACCATCCTGAAAAATTTTGAATGATTCTGAACAAGTTTCCCTACCCCATCTCTGTGATCTTACAGAGTATTAACTTGTAATAACTTTACAGACACCCTGGCTATTATTACAATATGACAGATTTGATCCCAACTTAAATCCTTCATGGTGGCTGTTTCCTCTCCAAGACCAATCTTCCCTTCCAGATATCTGAATGGCTGATTCCCTCGTGTTCAAGTTATACTTGAAATAATACTCTCAATCACTTTTATCACTATTTCTTAACACTGTAAACCTTACTAGCCTTTATATTACCATATTATTTCCCCACTCTGCAGTACTTTCTCACTTTCTAGCATACTCTTTACTTACTTATTGCCTATTATTTCCCCTAGAATATAGCTTTCACAAGTGCAGGGCCTACTTAAGGGACCAACATCAGTGACTTCTTTTATTTAGTGTTTGACACCAAAAACCTAAAAGAGTGTCTGGAACTAATTAGGTGTTTAACAGATACGTGCACAATAAAATAATGGCAAACAGGAAACATATGTATAGAATTAAATTGGAGATAGCTTTTAACCTAACAAAAACTCAAGCCAAAATCTACTAAAGCAAAATACAGAATAGTTTTGCAATATTAGGAAAATAAAGATTTCTTAGTTAAGACATAAAAAAAAAATCACAAAATCAAAAATCAAATACTGTACAAAAATAAACAGTTAAGAAAATTCAAGTTTAATAAAAATATAAAATAAGTTACAAAAAAAATCACAAACCAAAAGATATTTATAATCATTCTTAATCAAAATTAAAAACTTATAATCAAAAAGTGCTACTTTTTAAATAAAAATACAATTTATATACCAGCAGAAAGTATTTTCAATATATACCAGTAGCTGATAATGACTTATATAAAAATACATAAGAAACTATAAGTCAGTATCCAAATGACAACACAATTTTATTTATTTATTTATTTTAAAGATTTATTTACTTATTCATACAAGAGCTAGGGTGTAGGCCGGGGTACGGGGATGGTGGAGGATTCACCAGAGAAAGCGGGGAGCAGAACAGGCAGACTGACTGAAATAACTGCTAAGGGGAGCAGCAGGCAACACAGGAGAGGTCTGCTGTGCCGTGTGTGGGTCAGCAACCTGGCCAAGGGTCAAACTCATGCTGCAGTAGCTACAGAGAGCTTCAGAGTGATGAGACTTAAGTCTTTGAGCTACAGAGAGGCCCCAACAACACAATTTTAAGGGGGTAAAAAGACTTCACTCGATAAAGGACTGATCACAAAAATATACGGAGAACTGATGAAACTCAACAAAAATGAAGTAAACAACCCCATCAAAAAATTGGGCAGTAGAGCTAAAAAGACACTTCTCCAAAGAGGAAATGCAGATGGCCAACAGGCATATGAAAAAATGTTCAACATCACTCGTAATAAGGGAGATGCAAATTAAAACCACAATGAGATACCACCTCACCCCAGTGAGAATGGCACATCTTCAAACAACTAGCAACAACAAATGTTGGCGAGGATGTGGAGAAAAAGGAACTCTCCTGCATTGCTGGTGGGAATGCAAACTAGTACAACCACTATGGAAAACTGTTTGGAGGTTCCTCAAACTGCTAAACATGGAGCTTCCCTATGACCCAGCAATCCCACTCCTAGGTATCTACCCAAAAGACACAAAAACACTGATTGAAAAAGATACTTGTACCCCCATGTTTATTGCTGCTTTATTTACAATTGGAAAAACATGGAAGCAGCCCAGATGTCCAAAAGTAGATGACTGGATTAGAAAGATGTGGTACATATATACAATGGAATATTACTCAGCAACCAAAAAAGAGAAACACATGTCTTTTGCAGCAACTTGGATGGAGCTGGAAAAGATCATGCTTAGTGAGATAAGCCAGAAAGAGAAAGAAAAATACCGGATGGTTTCACTCATAGCAGGAGTATAATGGACCAGGCGAGAAAATAACAAAAATAATGAACAACCATAGACCAGAGACATTCTGTGGGGGTGGAGTGGGGAATGGGATCAAAAACGGGGGGAGGGGGAAGGGAGGGAAATGCACGGGACTATGGTGGTGGCACAGGGGTGATTTGGTGATGGGAAGCCCGTGGGGATTACAATTGAGATGAAAAACAAATGTGAAAAATGATGTAAAAATAAACTTTTTAATAAAAAAAAATAAATAAATAAAAAAAGGCAGTGATATGAATAAGAAAAAAAAAAAAAAAAAGACTTCACAAAGAGGGGTTTACAAATGGCCAAATTGTATAAATACATGTTCGACATCATTAGCCACATAGGGAAATATAAATTACAATAAAATGTAATGCCACTGTACAGTCACTAAAATGGCTTAAAGTAAAAACATTGACTATACCAGGTATTGGTGATGTAGAGTAACTAGAAATCACATTAATGGCTAATGATGGGAATATAAAATGGTATAATCATTTGAAAAATAATTTGTCAATTTCCTTTAAACATAGACATAAAATATGACCCAGCAATACCTCTTGAGAAGTGAAAACACTAGTATAAGCACTTGTACATAAAAATGTAAAAACACTTGTACAAATATGTTCATGTAAGATTTCTAATAAATTTGGGAAAAGGACAAATTTAAATCAGTAACAGGTCAATTAGTAAACAACTATGTTGTATCCATATAATGAAATACTATTCAGGAAAACAATGTACTATTAACGCAGTACATTAAGCAAAAGATGCTAGGTATTGAAACATAATTATACAATTTAATTTATACAAAATTCTAGAGCAGCCTATGGTCACAATTTGAAATATCTTTCAGAGGGCTAACAAAGGAGCCCAAAGAAAATTGTCCTGAGTGATTAAAATTTTCTATTTTTTCTATTTTAGCATACTGGTTACACAAATATTTTCTCATCAAATTTGACAATTAAAATCTGTGTGTTTCATGGTAAGTCACATCTTGAAGCTAATTTGAAAAAAAAGTGTGATTCTGATCAACAGGAAGACAACACCAGGAGGGGTTCTTTGTTGCCAGGAGGAAATCTAAAATATTCCAGAGGGGAAATGGATTCAGAGGATACTGTGTCTTAGGGAAAAACTAAAGTCTCTTAGATATTAAAGACCAATACTGATCACACCAGAAGGGACACTGAGGAAACTCAACTTGTTAAAAAAAGCTGGGCAGAGAGAGACACCTAGGAATGGTGACTGGGGCAAAACACTGCTAGGGGCCCTGGGAAGAGAATAAGTAAGTGTACAGAACACCCTTGAATGAGGGTAGATATGTGAGGAAGAGAGTTGTCCCAGGTGAGGTGCGTTCCCAGTGAAAAGGACAGAGTACATACCATTGATACTGTTCCTCCATCTGCTCCAGGCTTGAGCTGACGCATTGAAGCACCATGATTTGACCTCACAGACTGCAGAGATGAAATCTGGTACCCAGAGAGGTGGGCTTTAAGCAATACCACATACACAAACTAGTCCTGCATACCACTCTCATTAGTAATTGGACCCTTCTAGACCCTCCACCTCCCTGACTCAACAACTGCAGATCAGTTTTCCCTGATAAGCGGAACATCTTCTGGAAAAATTAGAAGACTGGTATTCTTAGGACACTTGAAAAAAATAACCTAGAAAGTAACAAAATTGGGAGACAAAAATCAACTCTTTGGCTCTCAAGTCCTCAAGGAGTATCTCACAACACAGAGAACCAACTTCCAGATTACAACTACAAAGACATAAAAGACCTTAATTTCCTATCTGATATAGATATCAAAATGCAATGCTATAAAAAAATCAAAGAAATTCAAGAAAACAAACAAAAGCTCATTAAGGAGATAGAGGAAAACAATGAGCTAGAAGAGAAACAACACTATTTATAATCACACCAAATAGAATAAAATATCTAAGTGTAAACTTAACAAAGGAAGTAAAGGACCCATATAATAAAAACTATAAGACATTATTAAAGAAAAAAGAGACAAAGAAATGAAAAGATTGTCCCTGTTATGGAATGGAAGAATATTAAAATAGCCATCTTATGACTGGATTAAAAAGATGTGGTACATATACAAGATGGACTATTACTCAGCAATCAAAAAAGATAAACACATGCCTTTTGCAGCAACATGGATGGAGCTGGAAGGAATCATGCTTAATGAAATAAGCCAGAAAGAAAATGGAGGTTTCTCAAAATATTAAAAATGGATCCAGGCCCTCCCTGGTGGCGCAGCGGGTTAAAGCACAGCACTGAGAATCTGAAGCCACTTCCGCATGAGTTCGATTCCCGCCTGCCGCCTGC